GAAGAAACGCGCATGCGCAGTACGTAGCCACGCCCCCTGAATCAGCCCCCTGGGGACACGCCCTCTCTCTTTCGATCCTCCAATCTTTCACTGTTTATACTGCGCCTCGTATTGCCTTATATGCCCATACCCTGACCGTACTATATAGGAGCGGCCGAGCCTGCCAGCAGTGTGTAGTTTCGCCCACACGCCCCGTGTAGAGTGCTCGAGTGACGAGATCCTGCCGAGCCAAGATAACGTCATAACGTGTACGTTGCCTCGGGGAAGGCTCGCGGGCAGAAGAGAAGGCTAAGCTCTCGACCTCTCTGCTAAGTCTAGTGAGGTGAGGGCATATATACCTAAGCGTGGAAATTTGGTAAATGAGCTACTGAGCTATCCGCCGCTCCTCATGGTTCAGCCTGCGGTGTGGCAGGCTCGTCCTGTTTCGTGTTCGCGGGCCTAATGCCGGTGCTAGGTGGTGACAATGTGTGTTTTAGCTACAGTGTAATGTAACGTGTTTGAAAGGGAGGGGAAATAGTACATTGTGCCTGTGCAAACGTACATCTAGGAGATATCCAAGCAACTGAGGGTATATTTCTCTGGAGGGAGGAAGGTGTGAAGGAAGGGAGAGAGAGAAAGTGTGGTTTTCTGAACAGGGAGAGAAATATGAGAGAGTCCAGTGTTGTGCATTGTACATAATGTGGTAGCAAGTATGGATCAAGCTAAGAGATGCGAAGTCTGCCAAAGGCTAGAGTCAAGTAGTGCTAAGAAGTCAACACAAGGTAGTAATTAAGTGTCATTAGCAACTGCTAAGTACATCTTCATCCTGTTTGGTATTTAATTAATCAGGGAAATGTCATGTGATATCGCCACGAAAATCACATGACATGGACAGCCCGAAAAATAATTTAACCCAAATAAGGCTACAGAGCGTGAACCAAGGTTTAGCCTTCGGAGTTGGCTGCGAAGTTTAACCTTTTGCTGACTAAGTTTTCTGTTGACATTATTATGACCACATCCCCTAATACATTCCTGAGTGAGCAGTATCCTAACGATGAGCATCTGACACTGCTCTTCACTCATTCCCTATGTACAGTGGAACCCCTCTAATCCAGACACCAATGGGACAGAAGAAAGTGTCCATATTAGAGAGGTGTCCTTATTTCAGGAGTTGAATTGCATCCAAGAACTGTTCTTGGGGAAAGAAAAGGTGTCCTCGTTTCAGGGGGTGTCCTTATTAGAGAGGTTCCACTCTATACTCTAGTAGCACAGTGGTATAATGAACACACTGTATAGAGAATAGAGTGTTCTTCAAGTCCCACCCACGGCAGCTCTTTCTTCTTTAGAAAAAACAAGTGTTGCAATACATCATAGGTGCTGTTTAATTGTTTGCTCTGCACTTCGTATAATATATCAGATTGATACGTAGCTAGGTAACTCACCGGCTGTAGGTTTGAGATGATAATCGGAGGTGAAGTATGTAGTGTGGCCACTTTCTTCTGTCCCATTGGACCTCATATGAGGGGTTCCACTGTATAATTTCTCTCTGTTGATGTAGTAGTACGAGGTATGTGTGTGTCTATGGACATGTATGGCTAAAGTAAAGGCAGAGTCAACACGTGTCAGTGATTACAGAGAGCCTGTCTAAACAGCAGACATAGTTCCAGGGCTGAACTACACCATCTCTCTCTCCCGCTCTTTCTCCCTAAACCAGAGTTTACTAGCCCTCAAAATGCTTTGTAAATCAACTGTTGGCTGGTAACTCGTAACGACGCTCAATCCATGCATATTGTCATAGTATACGTTTCCAACCTTGTGTATATGTAGCATTGATGGTGAAAATGAAATGGTGTTTTTATATTTGCCATAGCAGGAGGTTATTCGACGGCTTCTGCAACATCTGTCACTCCAGGTTGCTCGGAGACGGTGGTGGGTTGCCATGGGAAACCTGTACGAGTGCTAAACGACAGGGCTTCCGTCCCAAAAAGTGGATTTCTTGTCGATTTCGAGAGTAAGTTGCCAGCACTCCTACAGAGTGTAATCTCTTTGGCTGATGTGGTGTTAGCATCACTCACTCTGCTGTCTATTTACTGGTAATAATTATGGTGATGTTGTTTTTCCCTGCTCTTTGCTGTGATCTCCAACATTACCAGATCCAACGTAACACATTGGCCTTTGTGGTCATTTCCTCCTCCAGTTTTCCAGGTCTCTATCTCACCATTCGTGCATTGTTTGGTGTGTGAGGGACTGTTTATACTGACATGTGGAGATGGTGTTCATGTTTTATAAACAGTCGTATTCTCTCACTCTCTCTCATCCACCCTTGTGCTGGGTGTAAGAGCGATAGACTAGGATGTGGGACTCGTCCCCACGGTCCGACTCGCTCGCGTCTAGGGATACGCGCGCACGAGCACGCGCGCACCACGCGCTGTACATATACGATCGCATGATGTACTCTTTCGATGTAAACTAGCTCTGCATCCTCTGCGTACCCACGCTCGCTCTCACCTTCTCACCCTCTCAGTCGCTCCACCCGTTCTCTGTACCTATACTAGCATGTGTGTACTCATTTCCCATGTCCTACTCGCGTCTCTCTTTCCTTCGACACCTCTCTCCCTCCTCTCCAACCGTCCTCTGTACATATTACTGAGCATGTGTGTACTCTTCCCCATGTCACTACTCCCCCTCCTCTCTTTCCTTCTCGCATCTCTCTTCCCCCAATGTCCTACTCTCCATCTCTCTCTCTTTCCGTCTCTCACTCTTTATCTTGTGTGTATGTGGCTGCAAACATTGTGTGCTCTTTAGTTAGAGATGGTGTCACCATTATGTTTATTTTGTGTATCGAACCTGATGCTGTTTACTGCACTGCTGCTAGCGTTCAAAATCATTTCTCCCTCCCTCCCCCCTCCCTCCCTCGCTCGTTCGTCTCGTCTCTTCTCCAGCTGCAGAGCCGACTCCAGAGGAGGGAGAAGTCCACAGGAAGGTTGCCACGGTTCTCGACAGAGCCCCCGACATTCTTGCCGATCTCCATGGTTACAAGGGAGCAGGGGAGCACATCAGAGAGGTCGGTAACTGTCATTTGTCTCTTGAGGAGGGAATTTCTTACTTACTGCATGTGAATGCAAGGTCGTGTATACACTAGTTTGTAGTGGAAACTGGGTGGAACAAAATGAGATGAATTTCATCTCAAAACCTCAGAAATACGTATGTTGATCCTTGCATCTGGCAGACCGAAGGGATATTAACCCCTTTGCTTTCTCCCTGGTAGGCCAAGGTGAAAAAGATGTTTTGCAGGAACCCATGAACTAATTCTTGTGTTAACCCCTTTCTCCCCGGCAGGCCATCAGTAACTCAAAGAGTGAGAAGCACCAGGACGTGGCGTGGAAGGCCGTTTGTCCATCTGTCATTCTTCTGAAGAAGTTCTACGAGTTTGCTCTGGAGCTGGAGACCGCTCTGTGTGACCTGCTGACCGTTCTGTGCAGCCCGGACATGCCTGCCATCCAGCATCTGGAGAAACAACAGGTTTGGAGGGAGGGAGGAGGGAGGGAGGGGGAGGAGGGAGGGAAGAGAAGGAGGGAGGAGGAGAGATGTGGAAACAGTGGGAGGGAAAAGGACAAAGCCAGGAAAAGGACAAAGCCAGGAAAAAAGCAGTAGAGTTCACTTACATGTACACCACCCCCTCTCTGAATAGAGGTCCTATTTCACAGTTGGAGAATTGTTAAGAACATTGTATAGCCGAAAAACTTTACGTTTCTCAAAAAGTTTCCTGGACAGATGGATGTTAAAAACATTTTCCCCACATGCAGGCCATCACGAAGCAGTTTGCAGAAATCCTTCACTTTACTCTCTCTTTTGATGACCTCAAGGTACATATAATTATACAGCAACACTATACACACTGTACTCTGTATGTATAATATGTACATGTACGTAATGTATGCAAATACTACGACACTGTTGTATGTATAGTACATCTATTTATGCAACGCACACTACAACAGTGAGCGAAGAACATACATACATACATCATTATGTACATAGCTCTCCTGTGAATGTTGTAACTTGGGTACATGTTGAAGTGTTCTAGAGCTAGCAGAGAGTGGTGACTCAGCATCCGATTGCTACACCAGCTGCAAGTGCTGTGTATTGGCATGTGTTCCTCCTGATCTCACAGATGACAAGTCCAGCCATCCAGAACGACTTCTCCTACTACCGCAGAACACTCAACAGAAGAAGAATGGTGCGTGACTATCATGTGAGATCACATGAGTGTCATGTGACATCACACACACTTTAATAAAATTTGGTGCCAACATACCCGAGATTAGAAAGATCCACCCATTAGTTTTACTATGTAGCTTTGTCACGTGACTCTAGCTAGTCTCACATGATTGTCACATGACCTGCAGGAGGACACGAGTGCAGCGGTGGCAGAGTTGAGTGATGGGGTGGACCTGCCGGACGACGTGGCCAACAGGATGTCCCTGTTCTATGCCAACCCAACTCCCATGCTCAACACACTCAGTGGAGCCGCTGAGAAACTGCTACAGGAGTGGGCTCTTTTTAGAGTTGCTTCATACTATTCTTGGATCTCGTTCTCCCTGTTCTTTCTCGTTTTCCTTTTTCTTATCTGACTGTCCTCGCCTACGTATCTTGCTTTAGTATCTCGCTGTATAATATGTATTATACCCCAATTCTAGTGAGTCTGTTAGTATTGTAGGTGAGTCCTCTCTCCCCTCCCTCCCTCCCAGAATCCGTCTCTGACACTAGACAACATGACCAACTGCTTCTCAGCCATGGCGTCAGTCTGTGGGTCATCAGTGACAATCCGTGAGTCACATGACATGTCACATGACTAGCAAGTAACAACAAGATTTGTCTGCTCTCTCTGGCCATACTATTCGTTTAACAACTTAGTCTAAGTAGAGAAAAAGAGGCTTACAGCTAAACTCTCTCTCTCTCTCCTTCCCTCCAATCTCAGTCAATACACGTCCAGGTTCCAGAGTGAAGAGACTCAGTTGTTTTTGTCTGAGGGTCATGGTGGGAGTCATCATACTCTATGATCACGTCCACCTGTTGGGGCCTTTGCTGTCAAGGCCGCCATTGATGTAAGGAGGGACGAGGGAGAGAGTATATAGGAAACTGGTGATTGATGTGAACAAAAAACATGGCAGTTAGCAAGTTTGAGGAGTGAAGAAGCATTTTTAAAAGAAAAGTGCCTGAGGCTATTTTTTGTCGTGGTTGTCATGGAAACAATGTAATACTCATGCTCACAAAGTTTCACCTGGGAGCAAAGAAGATGATAATAGTGATATCTAGGGTGTTTGGCCATGCTAGAAAACAATATCAATGCCCACGTTGCATGGTCTAAAATCATTGGGCAATGTGGTGTTTTTCTGGCCATCATTTCGCTGTGATGTCATTCTCTTTTTAGATGAAGTCGTCGATAAAACTGATAAAGGAAACATCCGAAGACAGCAGAATCACTGCTCAATGCACTAAGGTAGTGTTGGACAGAGCAATGACATCATGATGATGTAATGTCTATTTCACACTACAGGTATAGCACAAAACATTTCAACGAAGACTCGACTCCGAAGGCCACGAAAGAGCTCCTGTCATGATGAGTCAATTGTAGTTGCCGTGGTAACACTTGTGTAGCTCGCTCACAAACTCTCCACTCACACCACCATCTTTCACTTCATGCACAATTGTATTAGAACTGTAATGACTGATGTAATTTAATGACCGCTGCCGGGAGTGCTGGCAGTGGCAATATTATGACATCATCACGACGTAATGTAAATGTGAAACCATATCTTCTCTGCGTGAGTCTTGGCTATGGCAGGAGCTGTGTTGACAGTTCAGAATAATGAGCTCCTATCTCTCTATTTTTCTGTCTAACTTTCCTACCTTCAGCCATCCTTGGGGTCCTAGCGTTTGAGACGAAAGCGTGAACCAAAATGGGGGTGGGGCTGGACCGCTACGTATAAAATGCGCATGCGCGTTCGGTGCGCGCGCGCGCGACACGCGGGAAAAACGAACTCCTTTATAGCTGATGCTGCAGCTGGCTTTCCAGAATAGTATAGCTCAGGACGCTGTGTGGACGTGTGTGTGGGTGCAGAGACGTAAGGAGAATGGCTACTGTGAGTAAAGTAATCCAATGTGTCATTAGTCTAGGTACAGTGCCTGGTGGAATGCAGAATAATAATTATTACCCCTAGCTATGTAAATGACACTTTGTTTTGCCCCATGCTAATTACATTTAGCAAGTGTATTATACTACCTCCGTTTCAATGTCCTCAGCTTTTCAAAATTAGTCTCTCTGTCCTCCTCCCCCACCTCAGTTGGAACAGGCTCTCTCCAGTGGTGGCAGTGGAGCGGCAGTGGCTGGGAAAGTCAAGAACTTCCTCTCCCACCACTCCTCATCCTCCCAGACACCATTACCTCCTGTCACCAGGAAGATGTTCAATACACTCTCCTCTGCCATTTCTTCCGTGAGATGTCTCTGTCAGCTGCAACCTCTGGTCTTTCCTTGTGTCTGGTTCTCATTCCTTCCTTCACTTTTTGCTGTTTTTCTGTCTCCCACTGTTTTAGTGGGCTCTTAATAGTGGGCCCTCCTCCCAACTTTTTCTCTCTCAAACTGACTGTGCTTGTGAGTACAGAATACAGAAGCCATTACTTTCTCTCCTCTCCCTCCCTCACTCCCTCCATTCAGGAGATGAAATCTCGTCATTTCTCTGGCCTCTCAGACCTCCTCTCTTGTGTCTCTCTCATCCTAAACCCCTCCTCCTCCTCCTCCTCCTCATCTCCCAGTGATACTCTGCAGTCCCTACTGAGCTATGGACTGGGAAGGAAACTCGGTAATGTGATTGCGCAACACACTGAATTGCTACTAGACATGGTCTGGCGTTGATAAACTTTTCACCACACCTTTTTGTGTCCAAGATAGAACGAAATTCGAAGCGCAATAGAAACAGACAACAAACTTGAATATTGCTTGGTTAATTCTACAAGTATTGTGCATCATCCCATTACTCTGTCTACAGTGGAGTGGCTGGCTGGTCTCCGTTCCATGCCGTGTACCGGCAGTATGGGCTGGAGACAGGACCTGTATTGCCATGGCAACGTGGCCGAGCAAGCCCTGGAGGCGTGCGGCGAGGACAAGGTCGTCTGTTGCTATTGACGACGCCCACTCCTGGAGTGGGTCATCCTGAGTCAGATCTACCAGTGGAGGCCAGACTCTCTGTCAGTTACTCATTTCGTGGAATGAGAACACTGAGTTTGCATATTTTAGCATATGACCTTTCCATCTGCTTGGACGAATTCATCAAGCCAGATGTAGTTGTTAACACATACATACTTGGTGGTTGTCCTAGGTGTATGTATACATTTGCTATTTCATACTGTTTTAGAGAAAGCATTAGGCTCGATCTTTCTCTCCCTCACCTTGTCTCCGTACAGAGTGCTCGAGGTGTGGCCAATCTCCTGGAGGTGGTGGAAGGAGGACAGAGAGACAAACTAGTCCAGAAACACTCTGCACTCTTGTGAGCCAATACTGCAGTGAATCCTCTCAATATGGGACACGTCGGAGACATCGAAATGGCCTTTTTCGTTTTGTAGAAATCAGATGCTAGCTGCAAACTTTGTGATTTCATAGTCAGAGATAATCACACGATGTGAATAGTCTATCTTTATTTTCTCTTTTTCGTATCTCTTTTTCTCCTTTGAATGAACAGTGATGAGCTAATGGATGGTGTTGTCTCTGCTGGAGGTAAATCATGGTACAGAATTACGGCAAATGGGTAGTGTGACAATTCTCTCCCTCCCTCCCCTTCTTCCTCCCTCAGACTATGATCTGCAGGCTACGATGGTGGAATGCTGCATCAGTGCACTGAGGGAGAGTGGTGGGCGGAGTAGCCACGCCCACCGGTGGTTCTCAGACCACACCCTCATCTCTGCCTTCATGAATATTCACGAGACCACTTTTGAAACCGTGAGTGATACGTACTTTTGCAATTTGGAACACAAATTTGACAGAGAAATGTTTGTGAATTGCATATGAAACACCATCACAGATGGTTCCAATGATCGCACAATGTGTGAACCAGGTTTCCCTTTAACATTCAAATATGAGAGTCTCTGTTCCATTCCAGGATTGTCGTGGGTTCCTGACCACCCTCAACAGAACTGCTGGTCCAGACAGAAGGTGTGACTCTTAGATACTGCACTAGTCAACTGAATTTTTCTCTCTCTCTCTCTCTCTTCCTCCACTACAGCGTTCACTCATTTCTCTGTAAGAAGGTCTTACTTGGAGCAACCGAGGTTAGCTGTTCATCACATCATCAAACTCCACCCCTACCATCTGTATGTGCAGCTCCACCCACCGAGGGAAGTGGGACGAGATGGGTTCTGGCTGGACGTGAACTCCACCTCCCTCTCCCTCTCTCTGAACGTGGAGGACCCCTCAGATGGGGGGTCGGGGGATCCGCCGCAAGACTCGGGGGGTCTGTGGGAGATGGTGACTGTCACTGACCAGTCTATGGAGTCTTGGAGAATGACCAGTTAGTTATGCATATCCCACCCTCTCTTACACTGTTATAATCTTTTACAATCAGTTTTAATCTTTCTCCATTCACTCTGTATGTCCAGCTGAGAGAGGAGATGTGGTAGTAACAGTGACGCTGACAGTTCCGTCCCACTCCCTCCTCCCCTCCCTCCCTCCTTCCCCTCATCACACCCTCACCATCTCCTTCTCCCCCTCCCACAACCCCACACTCCCTCTGGAATTACTCTTCCCCAACAAGAGAGCCACCACTAATGTCGTTAGTCAAGCCACACCCACTACCACCAGACATCAGGTAATCCAAGAAAATTACGAACCATTGACTTTAGACACGTCTGCATTATAAGTACGAGGGAGACATCTCCTTTGAACTGATTGAGGTGCTCTCTCTCTAGACGTCCAGTTAGATAGTGTATATCGCATTTGCCTGATTTGTGAGTATACATGATGTCTTCATGATCTCCCCTCAGCAGGCCAGACGGGTGTCTCCTACCCACTCAGTCAAGTCCAGTGTCGCCATCACCCCCCTACACATCAAACCATCGTCTACCAGGTTTTCTCTTAACCCACACTCTACTGAATTATCGCCTGACTCCACCACATTTAACCCTAACACTACCAAATTTTGTCCTGGTTTAACCTTTAGCTTTACCTCTGAACCCTGTTTAACCCTCATCGTTCCTAATTCTCATCTCACCAGGTTGAACTGCGAGCCTGGAAAAAGACCCCAATCATCAGCGTCGTCCTTATCTCACGTCTCTCCCATCGAAATCTCTCCCACTGGACCCACACAGGTATATACATACTTACCTTCTCCTCCACTTCCTCATTCTTCTTACCTTGTCTCTGAGTCAAACATTCTATGATTGAAGAATGGATTTTGCTACTAAAACTACTAGCTAGCATCAGAGTAGCATTTTGCACTGTGTAATGCTTGTGTCACTGCATCATGGGTGTTCCATGCTGAGCAATAGTGTAAGGTGATCAGTATGTGAGTGAAGAAAGAGTGTCGACTTGATCACACGCTGTTCCACAGGGAGACCAGGTGTGCTCCCAGGGCTCAGCTCCCCTCCCTGTCCCGTTCCCAACTCCCCAGACCTCCACTCCCAAACTACATCCCACGTCCAGACTCCATTCCAACACCCCTTCCACTGGTGGTCAGTTTATCCCATGAGGATCAGAATTGTGTATGTATAACTAAATTTATTGTATAAACAGTCTGTTAGTCTTTTCATTAGATGCGTACAGTACTGTATGATGTACTCCCTGCGTGCAGTGAGGGCCCAGCTCCAGTTCTCCAGTGCTGGAGCCAGCAAGAGATCCATAGCCATCTCCTCCATACACATCTCCTCCCACTCCACCACCACCCCTGGCATTAGGACCACTAATGATGGACCCCTGGGTGTTCGTACTAGTGGTACTAGTGGTACTAGTGGTGGTACCAGTGGTAAGAGACCAATGACTACCACACCATGTCCACTGAAGATGAAGCCAGACAACAGTGGTAGGCAACTCTTTCCAAAAGAGCGAACCAAACAACCACCGTCTGTGACTAAACCAGCAAAACCACCGACCAAACCGCCAACTGACAAACGGTTCGAACCACCAAAATCTGTCGCAGTACCACCAAAGAACCAAACCAAACGGCAGCAACCACCAGAAGACAAGAATGGTAGAAACCAGACCAAACAAGTGCTAAAAGACCAAACAAATACCAAAAGACAACAAATACCAGACACTGAAAAACAGTCATCTGGCAGTACCGGAGGCAAGAGACTAAGCAGTGCCACAGAAGACCAAACTGGGACACAGAACAGCCAAAAGACTGCCAAAAGTCGCGTCGGACAGTGCCATGAAGACTAAGCAAGTGCCGACAGAAGACCAAACTGGGACCACAGAACAGCCAAAAAGACTGCCAAAAGTCGCGTCGGACAGTGCCATGAAGACTAAGCAAGTGCCGACAGAAGACCAAACTGGGACCACAAAAGTCGCATCGGACAGTGCCATGGTGGGCCATCGGCAACAAACTTGTGCCAAGACTGCCGTTGATACTAGAGGTAATGATGACCTTACTGATAGGGCGGAGCTTGAGGATAAGGGGTGTGGTCAACCACACCCACATCAAGAGAAGCCACACCTTCCAAAATCAGCTTCAACTGCTGCGTCAACTTCAGGCAAATCAACCTCAACATCAGCGAAGGAGGGTAAACCTTTTGGTGGCACTTGTTTGAGGAGAGGAAGAGGAGGGAAGAGGGGAGGGAGAGGAGGTTCAGGAGGTGTGGAAAAGAGAGTTGAAAGCAGAGGGAAGACAGGTGAAGAGGAGGAGGAGGAGGAGGAGGGGTTGAGGTGTGTTCGACCGAGAGCGGGTCGACCGCCAGGTCAGAGGATGTTTGTCCTCAGTCATGCTCCACTCACCAGAGCTGATGGAGGACACAGAGGTAGAGGAGCTGGCAGGACCAAGGTAGATGGTGACTTATATACCATGGGGTCATACATTCTATACTCAGTACATTTTGTTATATGAACATTCAGATTGTAGCTGATGGCTTTTCATGATATAGAGGTTCCGCTGTACTTGTGGTGGCATGCAGTTTAATTGGCAGCAATCCTCTCTGAATAGAATACAACAGTGGTATAGATTGTGGTATCATTACAGGCGGGAAGAGTCAGAGGAGGAGGAGGGAGAAGAGGAAGGGTGAACACTGCCAAATCTCTTGTAACTACTTTCGACTTTGGAGATGTGAGTTGAACTGCATACACTTCACAGACATGTTGTAATGATGATGAAATGGTGACGTAAAGTACATTTTCAGCAGGCCGTATTATACCCTGTGTTTACTGCTCTGCAGAGTCCAGCAGTAGGAGGGGGCGTGGTTTCTCCTCCCATTCCCACCCCTCACTCCATCCCCTCCTCACTACCCTCACCTGATTACATTCCATCATCGGGACCCCATTCCAGACCACTCAAAGTAAGTCGAAAACATGGTTGTCGTACATGCAGAAAAAAAATGTGTTCTTGAATTATGCTATCTACTTGCTGCTGGATGTTTCTACGTACTCTAATGACGTACCTCTTCATTTCCAGAGCAAACGTTCCAAAAGTGTTTTACTCCGTTCGCTGCCTGACAGTGACTACGACACTGATCCTGATGACGCCACTTGGAAAGAAGACATCTCATCTGGGAGCAGTAAACCATCCAGTGGTAGACCCAGAGAGCCAGTTACTGTGGCAGAGAGGGGAGATGGTATGGAGAGAGGAAAGGGAGTGGGGGAGAAGGAGAAGGCTGCTGTTGAGAGCAGTTCCATGGCAGACAAGGCAGACAAGAAGGAGAAGAAAGGGAAAAGAGAGGGAGGGAAGAAAGGAAAGATGCTGGCTACAAAAAGAGCTGGTGGCAGGAAACTTCAGATCAATCCTTGTGAGAGTCAAGAGAGTGGAGAAACTAGGGAAGGAGAGGATGGAGTTACACTGGCTGCAGTGAAGACTACTGGTGTAGCAGGGAGGGGAGAGGGAGGTAAGAGGGGGAGAGGAAGACCACGCAAAAACAACACAACCTCTTCAGCCACTGACAGAGCTGACACCACGCAGGACAAGAAGAGAGAGGACCTCTTACCTCCAACCAAGGGTGGCCTGGAGAGACCAAAGAATACAACTCCTGTTGCCTCTAAATTTGCTACCAAAGCTAATGCTACTAACAGAGGGGAGAATGATCCAGAGAACAGTGGAGACGTCTTACCTCTGACTAAGAGCAACAGAGGAGGCAGACAAACGAAACTGCCCTCTGCCACTAAGCCAGCTAAGGCTGATGACGGTTGGAGTGCTACCGTTGCCAATGGATCAGTACTAGGGAACACTACTTCTCTGGCTAAGAGCGGCAGGCAAAGGAGAGACAATTTGACATCAGCATCTGCCAATACTAGCGGTCCCGATACTAACAGAGCTAAAATTAGGGAAAGAGAGAGAAATGAAGTTTCAAAATCGGCTCTGAACAAGAAGAAACAGATGGATAAAGAGAGAGTGGAGAAATGTAAAGAGAGTCGGTATGATGTTCAAGATGATGATGTCATTGAGGAGCCGTCGTCCAGTGAGGGACTGCAGAGTCCCACCGTGTCAACTTTGACCTCCAGTCCAGTGGCCTCCGGAACAAGGAGACATAACATGGCTGATGAGGTGGGAGAGGTGGGGAATAAGGGAACGAGGGGAGAGAGATCGCCAGTCAGGAAGAAACATCGCAGCAGCAGTGGATATGTCAGGTATATATTCTAGTGTCATCATGTAATCTGCCAGTTGAACCTCAACAGCTGGCATATTTTGAGTAGTATAAAACTGATTCTGTGTGATATGTAATTGCAGTGAAGTGACTTTGCTTCTGCAGTTTCCTGGCATCCCCGGCATCCTCAGCAAGCTCCACCCACAACCAGCAGGGGTCAGAATCAAAGACCACACACCCTGCCCCACCCTCTCCGATCAACTCCGTCACGTCGTCCAGTATTTGTGCAGACAGTGACATCACCTGTCGATTTGAGACTATCTGTCAGGTATACAGTGGAACTCCTCTAATTCGCCACATCAATGGAACAGAAGAGGGTGTCCATATTAGTGAGGTGTCCTCATTTCTGGGGAGGGACTACATAGCAGTAGAAGAGGTTTCGTAGATAAACTTATTGGTATGTGAGTGTTTTTCATTCTCGTGTTCCCAGAATCTGGTGGCCCAGGCGTGGAACCAATCTCCTCCTCTGCCCCTGCAATCATCAACGGCTGATTGCCAGTTAAGAGGGAAACCAAGAGCTGCTGGAAGAGGGAGGACTAGCAAAGGAAATGGACAGAAGGAGAGAGAGAGGAAGAAGAGAGAGAAGAAGGAGAGGGAGGAGAAGGAGGAGAGAGAGGAGAGAGAGAGGAAGGAGAGGGAGGAGAGAGAGAGGAAGAAGAGAGAGAAGAACGAGAGGGAGGAGAAGGAGAGAGAGGAGAAGGAGAGGGAGGAGAGAGAGAGGAAAAGACGATCTGCCAGCGAGACCACCGGCCAGAGGAGGAGCAATCTCACCTCTGAGAGGAAGAGGGGGTTGGAATCACGACAGGTGACCCCATTGACCCCTGCCACCCCTGACATTGCAAACATCTCCATTCAGTCAGGTGTGTCTGTAGTTATACTCATACATGAAGCAGGGACTCCTCTAATCCAGACACCAATGTTTCTCAAACAGAAATAGGGCCTGCCATTTTTTTCATGGAAATGGTGCATAACATGCTGTTCTTTTTGATGCATGGTGAAGACCATCAATTGTGGTGGTGCCACACTTGTGTACGGGTTCCACATTCTCTATATTTCTATATAGTGTGCCGAGGGTTTGCACTTTAGTGCTTTTCATTTCAGTGGTGTCCTTAGACCACTGTACTTGTCATAATATATCTACAGGTTCAGGGGAGCTCCCTCCAATCACGTTGCTGACGAGAAAGAGAAGACATGCTGTAGAGTGGGAGAACACTGAACAAGAACTCCCTGTTGCCGTGGCAAAGAAACCCCGTGTTACCAAGGCAACCAAGAGGAATCCTCCGGCAGCGGGGGATGGAGTCAGGGGTCTGGAGGGGGTGTGGCAGGAGATGGAGAGGGAGAGGTATGTATGTACACCCCATAATTATTATTTCTTTGGTGAAAATTGCCCACTTTAATTCCCCCACTTCCACAAGCAACAGAATTCGTTGAGAGCCTTTACGTCTCGTCTGCTCTCTCCAGGAAAGCTCTGATCTGCAACCACACGAGGGTGTGGTGAAGTGTCTGACGTCAGTGGAGAAGACTGTGAGTGGTGTGTGGGGGCCGCAGTGAGCAGGGTCTACTGTCTCTGGACAGACTCTCAGTCTCATGGCCACTGGCATCTCCACCACTGAGAGAAGGTAATGGTGTGTCGGTACCATGAGCAAGAGCCTGTTTTACACAGTCACACTTTAAACCAGGCTCATAACCACTTTTGCTTCAAACTCACCTCTTTAATATGGTTTGAAAGAAGTGGTCTCTTAATCTGTTTTAAACACACAAAGTTGTTTTCAAACCGTAAGTGTTGCTCTTATAAATGTAGTACTGTTTGTCTGTCACGTCGGCTCTCTCCTGCTCCCATAGGATGGAGGATCTGCGAGGTCTGATGGCCCGATTCCAGCCAGTCTCTCTGACATGGAACAGAGACAGAGCCAGGGGAGGGGCGTGGCTCAGCAGGGTCTCAAGAGAGATATCCAGCTCATTCAGCAGAGATCCGTCAGGAAAGCTGTGAGTTTGGTCTCAGTTTTTTTAGCCAAACTTTTACAAACCATTTCCGTGGCATCTTTCCAACATCACACAGAACGAAACACAGGTAACAAAGGTCAGGCAAGCACTACAGGCTATGCTGATGAAACTATGACATCACCATTACATCATCATTAATATTAACCACTAAACTGAGAAGGACCTATGCTTTGTAATCGCATTATACTACTGTTCATCATGATCATAGAAATCATCAAGGAGTGACTAATGAATATGTTTTTAGTTCCTATGGTGATAAGCTCCGCCCCCTGCCAGGAGTCGTTTGAGGTTCGACTTTGATATGATTCCGTGTGTCTGAGTGTAGGTTCCCATGGCAACCCTGGAGGGTGCTCCACGAGCCACACCTCTCGTTCCTCCTCTGCTGCTGTCTGGCCTGGAGGATGGGATCTGTGGAGGAATGGTTCTCAACTAATTGGCTGCTTCTGTGGAACCAGCAAGGTGCCCTTATTTCTGGCAGCCGGTGTCCTAATAGGGGGGCTCCATAATCGTTTCAGGTGATCCTATCTGTAAAGCAGTTTGCTAAGGCTCGGGCAAGGACTGAGACTATTCACGCATGCTTTAGAAAAGACGTTATGATGCATTACTGTATGTAAGTATAGGTAAGTAATGACAGTTTAATCAATGATCAGTTGCATAACTAGCTATAAATAGCAGTAAGGTCACTCACAATACGAGCACTGGTAAGAGTGAGGTCTGGAGTCTGTACACACGAGTGATGGAGAATAGCTGGTGGGCGGGGTTTCTGGTAGGAGGAGCTTGAGAAGGGCCATGGCTTAGCTATCACTGGAGATGCAAAGACCTGCTGTGGTGATGCACAATGATAATTGAAGGTACACAACTGTGTATTCTGAAATCCACTTGGATCATTAACCCTCAGCCCGCATGCAGAGCGAAGGTTACGGTACTTGGTTCATGTGTGTGTCTGTCTGTCTGTTACCATGTTGACAATGCATTGCATAGCAGAACCTATCATTCATTTTACCACTACCACGCATGTGTATTGGTTCGACATTTCTAATGAACCATGGGTTGCCACTTTAGTTCATTGACAGAGGAAACTCAGGGAAACTGGGAGTGCAACTTCTCTACATTATAATCAGACTCAGACAAAAGTGTACATATTAGTGAAGTGTCCTTATTTCAAATTGCATGCAGAAAACTTTCTTAGGGAAAAGAAAAGTGTCACCTTGGATGTGGTAGCTTTGGGAGTGACATCACCATCTGCACTTTTGGCCCGTTCAGAGCTGGACGTGGCCTCAGTGGGACGGGGTGTGGCTTCATCAGGTCCCTCCCTCTCCTTTCTCTTCTCTCGTCTTCTCCTCATCCGCGATCTCTTCCCAGCGATGGCAGTGTAGAGACGGTCTCTGTAGCGGTCAGCCGCCAGCTGAGTGTTGTCGTCAAGATGGAGGACCACGTCACAGTCCAGAACTGGCTCACTGCGAGCATCATGGAATCTGGACAGACACATGTGGCCACATTGTGAAAGACACTGAGGTAGCAAAGTCCACAGTTTATATTAGTGCCATCTTATGTAACATCACACACACACACACACACCTCTTGACGAAGGGATGGTGGACGGCAGAGTGTGCAGAGAGTCTTCTGTCAGCTGTGAATTGGAGTAGTTTTGTCAGTAGATCCAGCGCCTCGTCTGAAGCAGTTGGCAGGAGTTGAGACAGTCTGTAGTTCCGTCTGCAGTACACACACACATACTGTCATTCACACATATCTTTCTACTCTTACTCACAAATAGAAAGCTAAGATGGGCAATAATAAGAGTGGAACCCCTCTCTCTGGAGTCCCCACACCTCTCTAATAAAGGCAACCTTCCTTTACCATGCAATTTAACCCCTGAAAAGGGACACCTGGACACTTTTTTCTGTCTCATTGGTGTCTTGAATAGAGAGAGTTCCGCTGTATACCATACATAAGTGGTCACCTGCGAGGCAGTTGTCCCAGTATGGCCATGGCATAAGGAGCTCCAACTGCCTCTATCTCTTGTCTCGACGGCTGCGGGAGAACTGCCATTATCCTCTCTATCTGGTTCATCGTCGATGAACCCGGGAACAGAGGTCTCCCTGTGCGAGGGGGCAATAAAGGAGTGGAACATCTGAAGAACTCTTTATGAAGGGTACTTTCGTTCTGCCCCGTAGTAATATGTTATGGGACTCATCTCAACACTTTCAAAGTCTGTAGGCAAAGTGTTCCTTATGCAGATGTTTCATTAGTTGTTCTTGTCTTGCCTCTTCTTTGTTGTTGGACTAAATCCACTCAGTGATATATCAGAAGATGTATATGTACCTGCAATCATCTCTCCTAGAATGCAGCCAGTGGACCACATGTCAACACCAGTGGTATAGAGCTGTCCTCCCAGCAGTATCTCTGGGGCTCTGTACCAGCGAGTGGCCACGTAGTCAGTCATGGCTGGCAGGCTGACGTCAGGCTGGTTGGAGGAGGAGGGAGGGAGAAGAGAGAGGGAGCGAGCCAGGCCGAAATCTGCCAGCTGTCATGTGGGGGAAGGTAGGAACAGTTTGAAGGATGATTAGGGGGAAGAGAATGTGAGGTTCAAAAAGTGATTACCAGATTGAATCAGACCTTTATGTGGCAGTGAGGGTTGATTAGGATGTTACTAGGCTGTGGGGAAAAGAAAGTAGAGAGGTAGAGTGGTTTTAATCGGGGACAAGTTGTTTACCTTGAGGTCTCTATGGATACAGTGTCCTGAGTGAATGAACTTCATCACTTTCAACAGCTGTATGAATGGAGAAGGAGGTGGAGTTTCACTACATGTAAGAACTGTTCTTGGGGCAAAGAAATGGTGTCCTTATTAGAGAGGTGTCCTCATTTCAGGGGTGTCATTAGAGAGGTGTCCTCATTTCAGGGGTGTCTTCATTTCAGGTGTCCTTAGAGAGAGGTTCAACTGTAAGTAAACATACCTGATACATGATGTACTGGTGGTGGATAGGCTGGAGGAGTCTGTTCTTGACGACCGCGTGCAGATCTGTATCCATGAACTCAAACACCAGATACAAGTCCACGTCGTTGGCTGCCCTCACGACATTCAGGAGCTGTACCACATTCTCGTGGGACGAGAATGCCTGTAGACATGAACAAACCACAACAAGTCATCCCGACCAACAACAACCCACAATCTCCAGATCCACCTTTGAAAATTCTCACCTGAAGAACATGACCTCCCTGTAAGTCCTCTGAGCGTCTGTGGCGTTCGAGAAGGCATCAAAGATCTTCTTTAGCGCTACTATCTCTCCAGTCCTCCGATCCACACTCTTCCACACTATCCCATAGGCCTAGCAACAACGAGCAGCGTGAAACAAACGTAGTATACTACGCTCTACGCTGCGTGTTTGTCGCTTACTCCTTTGCCGATACGCCGACGAATTTCGTAGTTTCTTAGAACGTGTTCTTCCACATCTGTAGTTGACATCTCGTACACAATCCTTCCGTAGCCTTCTCCTTTCTTTGTCCACGTTGATTTTGTTTCGTTGCCTGGACACCGCACAACCTCTCTCTAATTGAGCGAATGTGAAATTTACTGGCGCACCAGCCAACTAATTACTAGGGGGCGTCCCCTCTCCGCGATATTACATTCTTTATCGCCAGACATCAGAAATGTCTTTGAAGTGGCGCCGAACCGTCGCAATACACGAGACACAATGCGGGCGGTCGGCCGGCCGATCCAGCCAACCAATCAGAAGCCGCCCAGACGACTAATTGTGTTGTCTGGAGAGAGTGTGCGCCGCCCGCGACAAACTCCGCGGACCCCGCGTCTCCGGAGCTGACCTCCGGCGCACGTCTACTGTTTCCTCAAGCGGCGGCTAGACACGCACACGACGGCTTTGTGCGATCAGCAAGCATCGCCTGCAGAAATGGCGTCGAGTGAATATCGTTCGACGGCGTGTCGGACGGCGATTGCGGGAAACGCCGCTTCCGCCGACGAGTAATAGCAGACAGACGGAGCGAAGAAGACATCCGCAGATACTAAATTTCTCTCGTCAACCCGCGCTCCCCCGAAGAACTGCACGAGAGAGAAACAGAAGGTTATCCGCAGACGGAGTGAGTGTGGAAATTGCACAATTGATCGAGCGCCAATTTTCCCGTCCATCGCCCGGATAAAGGTATCACACACGCACACGCTTCTGCCCAGGGCCCCCGCGCCTGCTTGTGCCACTGCACTGGCTTTTGCTGTGGGCCCTCATAACGATATTCATAGCAGTAATGGACCCCTTTACTGCGGCCGCCGCCAATTAATTAGCGTCTGAAGAATGCAATTTGGGGCTGGCGGCGGTACAGGTGCATAATAGCATTACAAACGCTGGCCTTTATACTCACCTCATAGAATAGAATCAGCCCCCTTGAAACTGGAGGAAATGGCCCAAGAAAGACCATTTACTATTAGAATATAAATGGAGTGCATTCAATTAAAATGTCTAGACACATATCCTAGACTCTCAAGAGACAGTGTCTTCATGTAATTATGTATTGTGTGCCTCATGTTATACAAATCATGTAGTCTGGTGACCCTTGTTTTCATGTAACCTTCATGTGTACCCTACACTGATACACACTGAGCATGTCTCTTGTTTCCATGTACCCTTCACGTACACTATCTACATGGTAAGAGTGAAGGGGGGTAAATACCATTCACCTCATTTACAGACAGGAGTTGTTTTTTACTCTACTGTCTTGTCTGTCAGTAAGCAAGTACAGCATAGCTAGTGAAGTTTAGTGATAGGCAAGGACACCTTTCTTTCCCCAACAACAATAAGGACACCTCACCACTAGTGTTCTGTCCAATTGGTGTCCTATTGGAGAGGTTTCACCCCAATTGTTGTGCCTTAACCAGACACTAGCTCTATATACAATACTGAGGAGTCTATAGTTTGTTTGTGGTCTGGAGACCTGTTTACAATGGCCTAGGAACACTGGTGTGGTGTGGTGCTGGTGACTGGTACCCAGGGTGCTAGGAACTGTTTACATAACACTTTCTGCCATACACTTTTTGTAGCAATCAAATAGTGCTCATTGCATGGGAGTGAAAATAATTTGATGATATCTGTGAAATGCAATGCACCACCTTCTCTTTCCCAAGAGCCGTCATGTCTTCCTCTGGAAGTAACTCTGACGGCCTTTGCTTTAGCGGCACAACTCGGCAGTTTAAAACATTTCCCCACACTGTGCTGGTGTGCCTGCAGGCATTGTACGTTTGATTAACCTCCAATTACAAAAATCATCACACTGTGATTATTTTGTCTGCCTTTATATAAAACATTGAAGACTGCCGGCTGTTATGACATGGAGCGTAATCCCTAATAATTGTCCGTCCCCAATAATTGTCTGTCCTGCTGGTGCCCTAATTGGAGGGACTCCACTAGCTACCATGTTATAGAATCTGTGTGTTTGTAAGTTGTCCGTATGTGTTTTATCTGCCGTCACCTGCACGGTTGACTTACTACTGGTCATCACTGGTGAATATTGTGTCTGTGTCTTGATAAAACACCCTCCAATGTGTCAAAGACGGTTTGTCTGTCTGTCTATTGTAGGAAACGTCTGTTTGCTCTGTTTGCGTGACTGTTGCCATGTCTTACCTGACCTACATCAATAGGCCACTGCACTATACTATTGGATATGTATATACATGGAAGTTTAGACGAAAGAAAATGCTTTACTGCACGTATTGTTGAGTATAGACAAAACGTGAACACCTCTACCGCACCTCTACCGCACCTTACTGCACCCTGTATATACCATATCATATATTATATATAGCACCACTGAAATAAGACCCCTCTATAATCAGGATATACTTTTCTCTCTGTGATTTCTTTCTTTCTCCTGTGCAGGTATCTAATGTCTGGAGGTGACAATGCCCCGCCTCCTTCCACCCCCCCTCCCTCTTCCTCGTCCTCCCTCCCTCCCACACTCACTCCATTCATCTCCCCCTCTGGAGTCGGCGGAGTCAGGTGAGAATCATGTGACTGTCACATTCCTTATGTCTCAACTGAAATAACTAGAGGGGGAAGTGGGTTCTAAGTGAAATATCTGTGTGCCTCTGCTCCATATTTGGTGGTAATTAAATTGGTAAAGAGGTGATAAAGATCTCTAGACCAGCCATGTTGACAGGACACCTCAAAACCACATCTAAAGACTGGGTTGGTTGCCTAGGAGACATGGTGGGACAGGGAGGCCAGACAAGTGATGGGAGAATGGGTTCATTTGAGACGAAACACAAACACAGATGACATAGGGTCTCTTATCCCTCGCTGTTGCCCTCGGCAACACCGCCACGGCAACAGAGGCTGATGGGACCGTGGTCATGTGACATGCCGACTTGCTGCGTTGCCTATCATATCCATACATTCATTTGAACTGGCATGAGACTTTATCGATACTTTGCATCGTGATCGTCGATCGTCGTCGTCATATATAGCCTTTATGTATAGAAATGGACTATTGGATGCATGGCTGTTAGCGCGAAGATATTGACTCTGTGCTCTATTTCCTAGCATTATGTGCTGAAAAACTCCAGTTTAGCTTTTGAGTAATTGAAGAAGTAGTATTTAGACAGGAAGAGGGATTATCTTATGGAGGACAAAGAAAGGGAGTACATTCCCCTTTGATCTCCATGGCAACCATTGTCTCCCCACATTCCAGGAGAAACCTCTCGACCCTTGTCCTCACACAGGGACAGCTTCACCAACTGCACACAACGTGCCATGCAGAGCAGCCCTCACCTATTATACTAGCTGTAGCCTTTGATGTTATGGAGGTACTGTAGTCTAGAAGGTTGGCAGCTGTCTCCCTGGCAACCTACATGTATATACCAGATCCCAGACACTGATAAACTCTACATACCTCAGAACATAATATACAACTAAGGCTCTTATCTTATCAGATGATTCTCATAGAAAAGTATTTTAAATGGCTGTCCTTGTGATGAGGAGAGAGGGTAAGAGAGAGAGAGAATGAAAGTGGTAGAAAAAGAGAACTAAGATGGGACCAAAAAGAGGACAGGGAAGAAGAGAGAGATGAAGGAGGGAGTGTTTTGGCTGGGACAGATGGTGTACTGACTGCCCCAGCCACTGGTATCTGAGCCTCAAAGACCTCTGCAGCTGACGTTCCCATGCTATCTTCACACACACATTTTGAACTTGAAAATTGACCAATCAGATTGCACGGTGTAGCTGCAAACTCTCTTCGTCGCCATTCCATTAACATTTCTTTCTTGGCGGTGCATTGTATTGTAGTATACCATCATTTCTCTACCGAATTACTAAAAACTTCTCACAATATTCTGCACCGCCATAACATGTCAGTAGGTGTGTGTGTATGTCAAAATTGTTGTCTACATGTGTTACCACCTTATGTTGGCACTGCACTGATCAAATTATGACCTAATTTCACCACCTCCCTCCCTCCCTCACCAGGTTCCCTATCTACGCCACCATCCAGGGTGTCAACTCTCCACTTCTCTACTCCCCCACTCTCTTTGGACAGTCTGTGTTGCCATGGAGACCACTGGTGACCACGCCCACCACCAGTGCTGCAGCAGCTGGTACGTAGAATACAGTGAAACCTCCTAATACGGGACACGGTTGAGACATCAAAAATTGAAATTTCTCACGCTAACCAAAGTTGATCTAAATTGTCTGACAGTAGCCAATAACAGTAGTCAGGTGGCCTACCTACTGTTGTTGTGTCGTCTGGAACCCACTGACGTTGCCACGGCAACTCATTGAGTGCGGCCAGCCTCGGTTCCTCGTAGGTGTCTTTTATGCCAGCTGGTTACATAACCACCCAGGACGACGTGCCACTAGGTGTGTGGCTTTCTTAACCCTCGGGGCGCATGTATCGAGGATTGCAGTACTTGGTCTGTGTGTGTGTGTCGCCATCACCTGATACACTATTGGCTGTTGCCTTGGCAGCCAGTCTACGCTAACCTAATCCCGCGCCAAGTTTTCCTCCTCGTCAAACAGGTTTTGCGTGTCTTGCGGTGGTGACGCACACGTGTGTCCTGGCCGGGTAATTCATTGACAGTGGCTGCGGTGTCTATGGCTCGTGACATGACGCCGTGCGTGGCCTGGTTTAGTCTGTGGTGACTGGTGTTTATTCTGAGGACGCCTAATTGAGGTGGTAGTGGCGCGTGCGTGTCTGGGTCGAGTTGGCAGAGCAGCCAGATTTCATGTGCATATATGGTGCTGTATTATAATACGGTGCTGTATATAGGCTGCTGTATAAGGAGGGAAATCACACTTCCATCCTTATTCTCCATTTATCTCACTCCGAACTTTGTCTTTTCAACCTGCGTATCTCGCTCCAATGTATCTCGCTTCTTACAAACCTAATTTCGTTTTCTTTTTATGGGCAAGATTCACTCTCTATCTGTCCTTCTTGTCTCCCCAGCAGGTAGTGGAGTGCAGACCGTGTCTCCAGCCTCCACCCCTCCCTCCTCCGCTTCCCCCTCGGTCGTCACGGGATACGCGGCAGCCTCGTTTGCCCAGTTGCCGGGGGGACTGATGTACCCTCTCTCCTCCCTCAACATGCCTCTCCTCATGCAGACAGACTCCACCCCCAAGAAAGGTAGTGGGAATAAATCAAGTTTCTCCTGATTTTGATCAATTTGGATACCAATGAATCAAACATTCTCACTTTATAAACTGAATACAGAGGAACTCCTCTAATCCAGACACCAAGTGGAACGTAGGAAGTGTCCATATTGGTGAGGTGTCCTTATTTCAAAGGAACTGTGGGTGGGGAAAGAAAGGGTGTCCTTCTATTCTGTTGTTCTAATAGTTGCTTGTTCACGTCTCTCCCTGGTAGGTGTAACTGGTGGTAAGAGAAGAGGCGACTCATCCTCGGTGGCAGATTCTGATGACGCCAAACGATCCCGGGTATCCACGGCAACGGGGGGGCCCCAATCGGCGGGGTCGTCATCGTCCCCCTCGCCCCAACCTCCGTTACTCCGCCCCACTCCACATCGCTCCCCTGTCATCAAGTACAACCTGCTGCCTTACAACATTGGTCAGTTTCCCTTTCTTCAGTCTCATTGGTGTCTGGATTACACAACACATTATGAAACTCTCGTCCTATGTACTATAGGTGGAGCCACAGTTGTCGCAGGAGCGGTGCCGGGGCAACAGGCCACACCCACCTCGTTAACCCAGACAGTTATTCTCTCCATTACTCCCAACACGACTGGTGCCGTAGGAACCGCCCGTCTCTCCCCTCACCCCACCCTCGTACAAGCCACGCCCCCTAGCTCCACCCCCTCGACTCCGCCCTCCTTCCCCACTGTCACACCCTCCCTCTCCTCCTCCTCCATTCCTCCAAATCTCCTCATCACTATACTGCGATGTTTTGGGCCTCTTCAGGTATATATATACAGTGGAGACACATTTATGTGTCGGTGTGTTAACTTCTCCATGAAATTTGCATGTCTTTATGTTCTCTACAGGTCCCTTCCTCCATACCAGTTAATCAACTGGTGATCTCTGACCTTCTGTCCGACCTCTACCGATCCTCCTACCACACCACCTCTGAGATCTCTGGGAACCTATCTCCTGAGAGCTGTGCCCTCCTCACCATCGCCTACCTCTCCTCCCTTCGCAGGTCTGAACACACATCCAGACTCTGACCAATTACAAGTGCAGTGAGAGACTTTCTGTAGATGGCAATAAACAAAAATTTTTTCCCAAAAGTTTTCACTAAAGTTAAGACCATTGTAGATACATAATGAGGTTCTATATAACACGTTTCCTGTAGGGAATTATCATAGTAGTTTTCATCAAAGGGTTTCCACTGTACAACGTGTACGTGTATCTGAGTGCACTATACATTTATAGCTTCGAGTGTGTGTGTGTATTAGGTGCCCTCCCCCACATACAGGGGAGAGAGGGTGTGTGTGTATTAGGTGCCCTCCCCCACATACAGGGGAGAGAGGGTGTGTGTGTATTAGGTGCCCTCCCCCACATACAGGGGAGAGAGGGTGTGTGTGTGTATTAGGTGCCCTCCCCCACATACAGGGGAGAGAGGGTGTGTGTGTATTAGGTGCCCTCCCCCACATACAGGGGAGAGAGGGTGTGTGTGTATTAGGTGCCCTCCCCCACATACAGGGGAGAGAGGGTGTGTGTGTATTAGGTGCCCTCCCCCACATACAGGGGAGAGAGGGTGTGTGTGTATTAGGTGCCCTCCCCCACATACAGGGGAGAGAGGGTGTGTGTGGAGAGTCTCCATACCATGCTCAAGTACGCCAGAACGGGGGAATCGGAATGGCTCCAGTACTACAAGAGGCACAAGAAGATGTCCGAATCCACGTTTGTTCAGTCACAGTTGATGCATCTCTCCCGAATATCTGTCTACCCTGCACTCGGCCGTGTTCGCGTCATGATCTCCAACGAGCATCTGGCACAGGGGATCACCCTGACCATTAAGAACCTCACCCAGCTGGTTGCCATGACGACCGAGGCCCTCCCGGACTTTGTGGTAGTGTTGGCCGTCCGTGGCAACGTGGGGGTGGAGTTTTGTGTCCTCGTCCTCGAGCCCCTCCTCTCGCAGCTATTGCTACGCCAACAGAAAAACAGATGGCGTCGACTGGCACACGGAGTGTTGAAGAAGTCTGGGAGTGCATCTGTTGGTGGTGCCATGGAAACGACGGCAGGGGGAAACCCCTCTTCGTCAGCAGAGATTGAAATTGAGAAGAGACTGCTAGTTACACTGAGGAGACTCCAGAGAGGGCTGAAGGGAGAAGTCCACATTCCGTTCCAGGAACCTGGGAATGGGAACGGAACCATATCACCGTCGAGGGCGGAGGTAATGACCCCTGTGACCCCTCACGTGATCGAGCATAAGCCCGGGGGTCCGTATGGCGATCAGGTGAGCGTTGCCATGCACCTCATGCAGCGGATCACAGCAGGGGGCGGAGTAAAACTTGAGAATTTTAGAACCCTCGATTTCTGCGTCCTCTGCCCCCCGGGGGTTAATTTCGTGAGGGGGGTGGAGCGAGGAATGGTGGAGGGGGGACTGGGGGAATTGGTGAAGAGGGAAGAGGGACAGGAGAGGGAGGGGGGAGGGGCTTTGGACGACAGAATAATCCGCTGTTGTGAAGAAGATTATGGAAAATTTTCAAAGTTTCTAAATGAGATTCACACACACCAAGAAACGCTCTACGTGGTGGTCGTTGAACACGCTGACATCACCAGCTCGTTAGTGGGCGACATGGTTGACGACAGTTCCCATGGCAACAAGAGGACCGTACAGGGCAGTTGCTATGGAGAACACAAGATTCTGCTCGGCCAACCGAACGTTGTGATGCTGTACGTGACGTCATTGCCATACCGACTAGTCACCAATAGGTTTCTGGTGTCGGCAGCTAATGAGATTCATTGGCCTGTGAGGACCCCAACCAACGAGGCTGGGGGAGAGAGGGAAGGAGAGGTGGAGTTTTGTTGTGTGGGAGGGTTGCCGGGGGCAACGGTGAAGGGGGTGGGGCCTGGCCGAATTGTGGTGTGTGAAGATGAAAGAATGGAGGAGGAGTTTCACTCCATTGCCTCGCAACTATGGTAATTTGCATTGACATCTGAAACACAATATAATGTATATATACACACCCTCTCTCTCTGCCCCAGTCCATCTGCAGACTTCTCTCTCATCCGTCACCAGCTCCTCCTCAACGACTACGTCTCCGCCCTGTCTGGCCATGCCCACTCGGGAAGCTCCGCCCACCCAGACACTCAGACTATAGTCAGAGGTCTGACTGAGGAACCTCTCTCCAGTAGCAGAGGTCGTGGCTCCATGCTCCTCATCAGGTGAGTGTCATGTGATAGTCATGTGATATCCGTTTTATTTCATAGTCCTGCTAAGAAGTTTTGCGGTTTTCTGACTAAAATTTGGGCTTGCAATACTCATCTTTTCTTTGATGAAATATCTATCATTCTCGGCTCATGTGCAGGTCACATGACAGTCACATGGGTCAACAGTTCTTCTCCAAGCTCAAGGCCACTCGCGATGCCCTCGGACTCCAGTTCCGCTTCGAGATGGTCCTGGACTCCGGCAGAGAAGGTTTAACCCTCTCCCCACACTTCCACCGCCGCGTGCGCAAGACCACGGGGAAGACGGATTCCAGTATCTATGGCAACGGTTGTCTGGGTGACGGTAGTCATGGCGACAGTTGCCGTGGTGACGACGGGGGTCACGTGACCTATTCTGATCTGGAGAATGTGCCGTGTGTGGTGGTGATGACGGGGGAAGAGAGACCACACGTCTCTCTACCAAGGTCAGTGGTTTTTACATCACTAAGTTTGGTGTCTACAACTTTTTCTCTGGATCAGATTTGACATTCCCTATTAATATCTGCTGTTGTTGTACACTAGAGGTCCCCTGCTCACTTGCATCACAGACCGGATTTCCATCAATTTTTTCCCGTATGATGAGTAATTGGCTATTCCCCCTCCCCCAGCTCCCTCAAGTGGGTAGATCTGAGACTACTGTACCCGTCTGACATCACGCGCTCCGTGTACGAGTCAGAACTGGCCTGGGCTAATGGCTACCTGCCCCCCTCCCCCTCTCTCTCCTCCTCCTCCTCCCACCTCAGACAGCCCCACACACTCAGAACCACTTCAGACAAGGTTGGTGCTCATTTTAGTGAATAGTGTGTTTAGCAATTATGCTCCATTTGCACAGGACACAAGTAGTCATCATTCTGATGAACAGGAAGTGATGTCAGAATCACATGACCCAGTGAGACCACACCCACCAGCCACGCCTCTCTCCTCCTCGTCGAGTCGACGGAGCAGTGTGACCGACAGTGCTGTCACGGCAACGGAGGGGGATGGAGGAAAGGGGGGTGGGGGGAGTAGTGGAATGGCATGCTGGGACCACCACCACGATACTTACCGACTGTGGTAACGTGATGTAAACCACTGCGGTGCGTGATGTAAACCACTGCGGTACGTGATGTAAACCACTGCGGTACGTGATGTAAACCACTGCGGTGCGTGATGTAAACCACTGCGGTACGTGATGTAAACCACTGTGGTACGTGATGTAAACCACTGCGGTACGTGATGTAAACCACTGTGGTACATGATGTAAACCACTGGTAACAATGGGTCCCAAATAAGGCATGAATTAATTTCACTTAAGATTTTTTGTTTGTCTGTTGCTAGGAGACACTGGGGGCGGGGTCAGACGAGGAAGAGGAAGAGGAGGTGATTGACGTCAGTGACCTGCCGTCCCAGACTCCACCCACTGCTACCATGACAACCACGGTGGTGATTGACCCTCCTGAAGACCAGATGGAGTCTCAGCAGGTCTGTGGGTCCCTCTCTCTAATCAGGACACCCCTGAAATCAAGACACCTTCCTTCCATCTCATTGGTGTCCGGATTTCCACTGCGCACTCTATAATGTACATACCGTCCCAGGTGGAGGGAGGGGTGTGGTCTTATTCCCAGTGTGCCATTCTCCCAAACCACCACCAGAACAGAACAGAGACCGTCACTTCTCCTCACCTCTCCCTTCCTCATGTCGACGTACGTTTCGCATTGTTGTCCTCGGACCTAAACGCTGCATACATTGTATAATATGGTGAGTTTGCTTCACTTCTCTCTGCAGCTATTTGCTGATCTATCAGACTCTGAAAGTGACTCAGAGGACGAAGGGGAACCCCCTGCAATCACCAGGACCTGCTTGTTGCCACGGTAACAAACATGCCACACACTCAGTTGTATGCAAAATCGAAGTTTGTATTTTACTTCACAGGCCTTTCTTCCATATTTGGACATCTCGAAACATACAACAGGCACTTCTGTTGCCACCGGCAACAGGGGTGGAATGGGCGTCGCCCAGCTCAAAGCATTCTCGCAGCAGTGGTTCCCATGGCAACACGGCCAGTAACGGAGGAAGCTCCGCCCCCTCAGGGCACACAGAGAAAGCACGACGACCTCCACTTTTTGATCCAGACCCCGCCCACCAAGTAAACATGGGAACAATTTCATGATTACGTAATATTTAGCAATATTATTGCTCCGCAGACCAGTTACTACAGGAAATGGAGTAAACCCTGTAATTCCGTTGCTAAGAAAGCCCTGGACATGTTGCTACGAGCTACCATCTCGGGAACTAAACATCGGTTCCTGCTGACTGGCCCCTCACAGGTGAGTGGGGAGTTTCCTTTAATGGTAATGTTTGATGTAATCATTACATCATCAGGTGGGTAAGACGGGGGCGTGGCAGTTGTTGGTGAGGTTACTCCATGACCACCTGCGGTCCTCTCACTCTGTTTCCGTGGAGATTCCTCCACCCCAACACTCCATTTTACTCCAGGTATATATATACATACCCACTGCAGTTTTACTCCATCAGTGGAACCTGAAAATGAAGACACGGCTCTAATGAAAGGGGCGAGATATGATTACATGTACCATAAAAAAATTATGAACTCAACCCTGTGATCTGATTGGTCGATATATCCTTTCCTTGTCTGTAGGAAAACTCATCAGCACCGTCTGGTGGGGCGCAGAGCAGGGTCGTTGCTCCCGGCTACCTAAAGCAGCTGTACCGGGAGTTGCTAGGCAACGACAAGAAGCCCTTCACCAACGCCCCACCCTCTCCCGTCACCTCCAGCACCACCGTTCACACACAAGCCACACCCCCTACGCCAAGCACAACTATCATCAGTCTATCTCCATACGCGGCACAAGATAGCAGTCACTCTTGCGCAACTTGCTCGGAGCATTCTAAAACTTACTCCACTCTCTACATGCTCTCCCAGCGCCTACCCACGTCATGTGGCACCGACGTGATGCTCAGGTGGTATGTGCCGTCGTCTCTGACAAAGTATTGCGTAATGGACAAAGAGCATCAAGTTCTGGAGCGGCTGTCCCTGCCGACTACACCGGACAGACCGGATGGAAACTGGTTTGACGAGGTACCGATTTTCTCTCCCTCAGTTGGACGAGCGTCGTCGGCTCTCTTGAATTTGAATCACACTGGGGTCAAAGGTCTCCACGTGGTTGTCACGACGGCGAGTAAGATGACGTCATACATGGGGGCGTGGCAGGATCGTGTGATAATGGCTCTCCCCGACAACCAGACTGTCTGCAAAGGTCGGTCAGTAATGGCGGCATTTTACATACTTCAGTTTTCGCCTGAGTCCAAGCAAGTCCCTCGTAGGAAATTTCTTTTGCGGTTGGCCCTAGAAGCACCTTTCTGCACTAGTTGTATATACAGTGCACAGAGCACAGGGCTAGTTTCAAACACCCTATCAGTTTACTTCCCCCACTGCCAGGTATGATGTACTGTCGACTGAAGGAGTTTCTTCATCACAACTACATCATGAACTGCGAGGCCACGCCCCCTGACACGCCCACTCCGCTCCCTTGGGTCCTCATAATGAGCGACAGCTGTGTCATGTGGAAGAGAGAGGAAAGAGAAGATCATTGGAGGTATATCGACCTGTGCTAATATACAGTGGAACCCCCTCTCTGAAATGAGGACACCTCTCTAATAGTGACAGATTCTTCTGACCCATTAGTGTCAAGATTACGGGGTTTTTACATGTACTTGCTTTACGTCTCTCTGTTAACCCTTTCCTCCCTCTCTTGTAGATCATGTGACCTCTCCTTGACTCACGTGCTTCAGTCATTATCCCAGAGACTAGGCAATGCATCCTCAGAGTATTCCGCAGTCAGTGTGCCTCAATGGACACCTCCTCCCTCCCACCCTCCCCTCTCTCACTTTGACCTCAACCACGACTTTCTCCTCCTCAACATCGCCACGACGACCGATGTACACTACCACACCCACAGTTACGCCAGTTTCGACACCAATTTCAATCTCCAGTTGTTTGTGGGCGGAGCCAGAACCCTTGTCGATTCAGATATATCCGTCGTTAGGAAACACAATCCGCCTGGCGATGAACCTCGTTTGCATAACAACGTGACTACCGTGGCAACGCCCGATGTGGACTGTATTGCCGTGTCGCTACACGATTCTGTTGCACCCCTCTTTGATTACCCCGGCCCCTACCTGTTAGAGCACTATCTACGAATGAAGTCCCCGGACCTATTCCCGAGCGCCCGTTCCCCCATACACCCAGTCCTCATGATAGACCATTATGTCAACCTTGGACCTTCCACCCACATCTCCTTCTTCCCCTCCTCCCAACTCCATGGCGACGACAAACAACATCAAGACCACACCCCTCTGCCGGAGGTCAAATTTGGTGGGCTCGTACTCTACCTCTGCGAGGGTCGCGTCTCCAGGCAACAGCTGCAACGACTCCATTTTGTGGACGGAGCCTGTCTGTGTCTGGTGACAGAAAGTTCAGGTAAAGTTTCCACACTGAAAAATTTCCACTTGTTCTGCTTCAGAGGTAAAGTAACAGGCGGAGTAGAGTTATAGTAAAAGGCGGAACCAAGGGTCCATTATTTGGAGATTAAGTATTACTATATATGGGGCAGAACCTCATTATCATTCAGAGGTCTATCTGTGAGTGCAGGGTCCCTGGTGAGGGAAGTGGGGCGACTGGATCTGGAGGACAGATGGAAATTCAGACTGAGGGATGAGTACAAGACTGCCTGCTACGACTCACCCTCCTCCAAACCTCTCTTCTTTCTCATTGGTCACTTCGACCATGATGTCACCACTCTAGCCTCTCATTGGTCACTTCAGAATATGAAGTCACCACTCTAGCCTCTCATTGGTCACTTTGGACTATGATCTCATCACTTTTCTTTCTTATCGTCAGACTGTGATGTCATAGTTCTTTGGTCAGTTTGGACTATAATGTCATCACTCACTAGCTTCTCATTGGTCGGTTTTGACAGCCAGTGATGTAATCATGATGTCATGAAAACTGAGCACATTGATTACGCAGCAAAATTAATGGAAAAGCCTCTGCGTGTGACTTATCACTGGTCTCTTGTCCTATTTTTTCATAAAATGGAGGGCTAACATTATTTCAGTAATGAAGTGATGTGGTGAGAGGATGCTATAGTTTGAGATGGTATAGTCACAGCTCTCTCCTGTAGCTGTCCACATACATCCACCAACCTAGAGTTGTAGGGGGAAAAAGGGAAAAAAACCAGTCACTTTTCGATCCATAATGCAGTTCATGTAGCCCTCAGCAAAAAGCCATATTATCGTTATACTCAATGACATACATTACGTAATCCATCGACGTATATTATTATGCACATGGAGATTTGTCTGACTCAGTCAGTCGGTGAAAAGAAGAATGAGGCAGAAACTGGCAGTACCTGCGTCACACATGCTGCAAAGGCTAGCAACACGACCAGTGCGGCTGGCATGCCTCGTATTCTACACAGTAGGCCAGTGCCTATAGCCCAAGTCATTATAATACCAGGTCTGCAGGGGAGGACTGAGTCTTGGCAGTGAGCCGGCATCAGTTGAGGAGCAGTCTGTCTTCAATGTATTGAAATGAGTCTCAATGTCTTTCTTGATGTCTGGGAACAGTGCTGTCTGACTCACACATTGCTGGAGTGGGAGGAGGAGGGGGAGGAGGAGGAGTGGGAGGAGGAGGAGGAGGAGGAGGAGGAGTGGGAGGAGGAGGAGGAGGGTGAACAATACTCTTCCAACCACAGTGAAACTGGCACTGTCTCTGACTCCATATGTGCAGTCGTGCACACTGTATAACTAAACTAATCCAGACACCAATGGGAGAAGAGAAAGTGTCCATATTAGTGAGGTGTCCTTATTTCAGGAGTTGAAAGAACTGTTCTTGGGTAACGAGGTGTTATCATTAGAGAGGTGTCCTCCTGTATTTCCAGACACTTCTCTCTATTACAGTTGTCCTATTATACTAGTGTCTGGATTAGAGGAGTTCCGTGGCTCACGTATAGCAGGGCAGTCTGGTGGGCGATGTACTTGTGTGAAGATGACAGTTGTACGTCAGCACTCAGCTGCTGGGCCAGAGCTAGTACCGTGTGCAGCTGGGACAGCTTTGTCAGGTAGCCTGAGAGGAGAGAGAGAGTGAGTTGAGAGAAACCTACCTTACCTTAAAACCTCACTCTAAGGACACCCCTGAAATGAGGACACCTCTCTAATAAGGAGTAAGGACACCCCTGAAATGAGGACACCTCTCTAATAAGGAGTAAGGAGTAAGGAGTAAGGACACCCCTGAAATGAGGACACCCCTCTAATAAGGAGTAAGGACACCCCTGAAATGAGGACACCCCTCTAATAAGGAGTAAGGACACCCCTGAAATGAGGACACCTCTCTAATAAGGAGTAAGGACACCCCTGAAATGAGGACACTCTCTAATAAGGAGTAAGGAGTAGGACACCCCTGAAATGAGGACACCCTCTAATAAGGAGTAAGGACACCCTGAAATGAGGACACCTCTCTAATAAGGAGTAAGGACAACCCCTGAAATGAGGACACCTCTCTAATAAGGAGTAGGAGTAAGGAGTAAGGACACCCCTGAAATGAGGACACCCCTCTATAAGGAGTAAGGACACCCCTGAAATGAGGACACCCCTCTAATAAGGAGTAAGGACACCCCTGAAATGAGGACACCCCTCTAATAAGGAGTAAGGACACCCCTGAAATGAGGACACCTCTCTAATAAGGAGTAAGGAGTAAGGACACCCCTGAAATGAGGACAACCCCTCTAATAAGGAGTAAGGACACCCCTGAAATGAGGACACCCCTCTAATAAGGAGTAAGGACACCCCTGAAATGAGGACACCTCTCTAATAAGGAGTAAGGACACCCCTGAATGAGGACACCTCTCTAATAAGGAGTAAGGACACCCCTAAATAGGACACCCCTCTAATAAGGAAGGACGAACACCCCTGAAATGAGTAGAGAACCTCTCTAATAAGGAGTAGGACACCCCTGAAATGAGGACACCTCTCTAATCAGGAGTAAGGACACCCCTGAAATGAGGACACCTCTCTATAAGTAGTAAGGACACCCCTGAATGAGGACACACCTCTCTAATAAACGGTAAGGAGTAAGGACACCCCCTGAAATGAGGACACCTCTCTAATAAGGAGTAAGGACCACCCCTCTAGTAAGGACACCCCTGAAATGAGACACCTCTCTAATAAGGAGTAAGGACAACCCCTGAATGAGGACACCCCTCTAATAAGGATAGGAGCACACCTCTCTAAAGGAGTAGGACACCCCTGAAATGAGGACACCTCTCTATAAGGGTAAGGAGTAAGGACAACCCCTGACTGAGACCCCCTCTAAAGGATAAGACACACCCCTCTAGTAAGGACACCCCTGAATGAGACACCTCTCTAATAAGGAGTAAGGACACCCCTGAAATGAGGACACCTCTCTAATAAGGATAGGAGGACACCCCTGAAAATGAGGACACCTCTCTAATAAGGAGTAAGGACACCCCTCTAGTAAGGACAGACAGCTGAAATGAGGACACCTCTCTATAAGGAGTAAGGACACCCCTCAAATGAGGACACCCCTCTAATAAGGGTAGGAGACACCCCTGAAATGAGGACACCTCTCTAATAAGGAGTAAGGACACCCCTGAAATGAGGACACTCTCTAATAAGGAGTAAGGACACCCCTGAAATGAGGACACCTCTCTAATAAGGAGTAAGGACACCCCTGAAATGAGGGACACCTCTCTAATAAGGAGTAAGGACACCCCTGAAATGAGGACACCCCTCTAATAAGGAGTAAGGACACCCCTGAAATGAGGACACCTCTCTAATAAGGGTAAGGAGTAAGGACACCCCTGAATGAGGACACCTCTCTAATAAGGAGTAAGGACACCCCTCTAGTAAGGACACACCCCTGAATGAGGACACCTCTCTAATAAGGAGTAGAGGACACCCCTGAAATGAGGACACCCCTCTAATAAGGAGTAGGAGGACACCCCTGAATGAGGACACCTCTCTAATAAGGAGTAAGGACACCCCTGAAATGAGGACAACCTTTCTAATAAGAGTAATGACCACAAACCCTGAAATGAGGACACCTCTCTAATAAGGAGTAAGGACACACCCTGAAATGAGACAACCCCTCTAATAAGGAGTAGGAGGACACCTCTCTAATAAGGAGTAAGGACACCCCTGAAATGAGGACACCTCTCTAATAAGGAGTAAGGACACCCCTGAAATGAGGACACCCCTCTAATAAGTAGTAAGGACACCCCTGAAATGAGGACACCTCTCTATAAACGGTAAGGAGTAAGGACAACCCTGAAATGAGGACACCTCTCTAATAGGAGTAAGGACACCCCTCTAGTAAGGACACCCCTGAAATGAGGACACCTCTCTAATAAGGAGTAAGGACACCCCTGAAATGAGGACACACCTCTAATAAGGAGTAGGAGGACACCTCTCTAATAAGGAGTAAGGACACCCCTGAAATGAGGACACCTCTCTAATAAGGAGTAAGGACCCCTGAAATGAGGACACCCCTCTAATAAGTAGTAGGACACCCCTGAAATGAGGACACCTCTCTAATAAACGGAAGGAGTAAGGACACCCCTGAAATGAGGACACCTCTCTAATAAGAGTAAGGACCACCCCCTCTGTAAGGACACCCCTGAAATGAGGACACCTCTCTAATAAGGAGTAAGGACACCCCTGAATGAGGACACACCTCTAATAAGGAGAGTAGGACACCTCTCTAATAAGGAGTAAGGACACCCCTGAAATGAGGACACCTCTCTAATAAGGGTAAGGAGTAAGCAAACCCCTGAAATGAGGACACCTCTCTAATAGTAGTAAGGACACCCCTCTAGTAAGGACAACCCTGAAATGAGGACACCTCTCTAATAAGGAGTAGGAGGACACCTCTCTAATAAGGAGTAAGGACACCCCTGAAATGAGGACACCTCTCTAATAAGGAGTAAGGACACCCCTGAAATGAGGACACCCCTCTAATAAGTAGTAAGGACACCCCTGAAATGAGGACACCTCTCTAATAAACGGTAAGGAGTAAGGACACCCCTGAAATGAGGACACCTCTCTAATAAGGAGTAAGGACACCCCTCTAGTAAGGACACCCCTGAAATGAGGACACCTCTCTAATAAGGAGTAAGGACACCCCTGAAATGAGGACACACCTCTAATAAGGAGTAGGAGCACACCTCTCTAATAAGGAGTAAGGACACCCCTGAAATGAGGACACCTCTCTAATAAGGGGTAAGGAGTAAGGACACCCCTGAAATGAGGACACCTCTCTAATAAGGAGTAAGGACACCCCTCTAGTTTATAAGGACACCCCTGAAATGAGGACACCTCTCTAATAGGAGAGTAAGGACACCCCTGAAATGAGGACACCCCTCTAATAAGGAGTAGGAGGACACCCCTGAAATGAGGACACCTCTCTAATAAGGAGTAAGGACACCCCTGAAATGAGGACACCTCTCTAATAAGGAGTAAGGACACCCCTGAAATGAGGACACCTCTCTAATAAGGAGTAAGAACACCCCTGAAATGAGGACACCTCTCTAATAAGGAGTAAGGACACCCCTGAAATGAGGACACCTCTCTAATAAGGGTAAGGAGTAAGGACACCCCTGAAATGAGGACACCTCTCTAATAAGGAGTAAGGACACCCCTCTAGTAAGGACACCGCTGAAATGAGGACACCTCTCTAATAAGGAGTAAGGACACCCCTGAAATGAGGACACCTCTCTAATAAGGGTAAGGAGTAAGGACACCCCTGAAATGAGGACACCTCTCTAATAAGGAGTAAGGACACCCCTGAAATGAGGACACCTCTCTAATAAAGGGTAAGGAGTAAGGACACCCCTGAAATGAGGACACCTCTCTAATAAGGAGTAAGGACACCCCTCTAGTAAGGACACCCCTGAAATGAGGACACCTCTCTAATAAGGAGTAAGGACACCCCTGAAATGAGGACACCTCTCTAATAAGGAGCAAGGACACCCCTGAAATGAGGACACCTCTCTAATAAGGAGACCCCTGAAATGAGGACACCTCTCTAATAAGGAGTAAGGACACCCCTGAAATGAGGACACCCCTCTAATAAGGAGTATGAGGACACCCCTGAAATGAGGACACTTCTCTAATAAGGAGTAAGGACACCCCTGAAATGAGGACACCTCTCTAATAAGGAGTAAGGACACCCCTGAAATGAGGACACCCCTCTAATAAGGAGTAAGAACACCCCTGAAATGAGGACACCTCTCTAATAAAGGGTAAGGAGTAAGGACACCCCTGAAATGAGGACACCTCTCTAATAAGGAGTAAGGACACCCCTCTAGTAAGGACACCCCTGAAATGAGGACACCTCTCTAATAAGGAGTAAGGACACCCCTGAAATGAGGACACCTCTCTAATAAGGAGTAAGGACACCCCTGAAATGAGGACACCCCTCTAATAAGGAGTAAGGACACCCCTGAAATGAGGACACCTCTCTAATAAGGAGTAAGGACACCCCTGAAATGAGGACACCTCTCTAATTAAGACACCCCTGAAATGAGGACACCTCTCTAATAAGGATAAGGACACCCCTGAAATGAGGACACCTCTCTAATAAGAGTAGGACCCCTGAAATGAGGACACCTCTCTAATAAGGAGTAAGGACACCCCTGAAATGAGGACACCCCTCTAATAAGGAGTATGAGGACACCCCTGAAATGAGGACACCTCTCTAATAAGGAGTAAGGACACCCCTGAAATGAGGACACCCCTCTAATAAGGAGTAAGGACACCCCTGAAATGAGGACACCTCTCTAATAAGGAGTAAGGACACCCCTGAAATGAGGACACCTCTCTAATAAGGAGTAAGGACACCCCTGAAATGAGGACACCTCTCTAATAAGGAGTAAGGACACCCCTGAAATGAGGACACCCCTCTAATAAGGAGTAAGGACACCCCTGAAATGAGGACACCTCTCTAATAAAGGGTAAGGAGTAAGGACACCCCTGAAATGAGGACACCTCTCTAATAAGGAGTAAGGACACCCCTCTAGTAAGGACACCCCTGAAATGAGGACACCTCTCTAATAAGGAGTAAGGACACCCCTGAAATGAGGACACCTCTCTAATAAGGAGTAAGGACACCCCTGAAATGAGGACACCCCTCTATAAGGAGTAAGGACACCCCTGAAATGAGGACACCTCTCTAATAAGGAGTAAGGACACCCCTGAAATGAGGACACCCTCTCTAATAAGGAGTAGAGGACACCCCTGAAATGAGGACACCTCTCTAATAAGGAGTAAGGACACCCCTGAAATGAGGACACCTCTCTAATAAGGAGTAAGGACACCCCTGAAATGAGGACACCTCTCTAATAAGGAGTAAGGACACCCCTGAAATGAGGACACCTCTCTAATAAGGGTAAGGAGTAAGGACACCCCTGAAATGAGGACACCTCTCTAATAAGGAGTAAGGACACCCCTCTAGTAAGGACACCCCTGAAATGAGGACACCTCTCTAATAAGGAGTAAGGACACCCCTGAAATGAGGACACCTCTCTAATAAGGAGTAAGGACACCCCTGAAATGAGGACACCTCTCTAATAAGGAGTAAGGACACCCCTGAAATGAGGACACCTCTCTAATAAGGAGTAAGGACACCCCTGAAATGAGGACACCTCTCTAATAAGGAGCAAGGACACCCCTGAAATGAGGACACCTCTCTAATAAGGAGACCCCTGAAATGAGGACACCTCTCTAATAAGGAGTAAGGACACCCCTGAAATGAGGACACCCCTCTAATAAGGAGTAAGGACACCCCTGAAATGAGGACACCTCTCTAATAAGGAGTAAGGACACCCCTGAAATGAGGACACCCCTCTAATAAGGAGTAAGGACACCCCTGAAATGAGGACACCTCTCTAATAAGGAGTAAGGACACCCCTGAAATGAGGACACCTCTCTAATAAGGAGTAAGGACACCCCTGAAATGAGGACACCTCTCTAATAAGGAGTAAGGACACCCCTGAAATGAGGACACCTCTCTAATAAGGAGTAAGGACACCCCTGAAATGAGGACACCTCTCTAATAAGGAGTAAGGACACCCCTGAAATGAGGACACCTCTCTAATAAGGAGTAAGGACACCCCTCTAGTAAGGACACCCCTGAAATGAGGACACCTCTCTAATAAGGAGTAAGGACACCCCTGAAATGAGGACACCCTCTCTAATAAGGAGTAAGGACACCCCTGAAATGAGGACACCTCTCTAATAAGGAGTAAGGACACCCCTGAAATGAGGACACCTCTCTAATAAGGAGTAGGACACCCCTGAAATGAGGACACCTCTCTAATAAGGAGTAAGGACACCCCTGAAATGAGGACACCTCTCTAATAAGGACACCCCTGAAATGAGGACACCCCTCTAATAAGGAGTAAGGACACCCCTGAAATGAGGACACCTCTCTAATAAGGAGTAAGGACACCCCTGAAATGAGGACACCTCTCTAATAAGGAGTAAGGACACCCCTGAAATGAGGACACCCCTCTAATAAGGAGTAAGGACACCCCTGAAATGAGGACACCTCTCTAATAAGGAGTAAGGACACCCCTGAAATGAGGACACCTCTCTAATAAGGAGTAAGGACACCCCTGAAATGAGGACACCTCTCTAATAGGAGTAAGGACACCCCTGAAATGAGGACACCTCTCTAATAAGGAGTAAGGACACCCCTGAAATGAGGACACCTCTCTAATAAGGGGTAAGGAGTAAGGACACCCCTGAAATGAGGACACCTCTCTAATAAGGAGTAAGGACACCCCTCTAGTAAGGACACCCCTGAAATGAGGACACCTCTCTAATAAGGAGTAAGGACACCCCTGAAATGAGGACACCTCTCTAATAAGGAGTAAGGACACCCCTGAAATGAGGACACCTCTCTAATAAGGAGACCCCTGAAATGAGGACACCTCTCTAATAAGGAGTAAGGACACCCCTGAAATGAGGACACCTCTCTAATAAGGAGTAAGGACACCCCTGAAATGAGGACACCTCTCTAATAAGGAGTAAGGACACCCCTGAAATGAGGACACCTCTCTAATAAGGAGTAAGGACACCCCTGAAATGAGGACACCCTCTAATAAGGAGTAAGGACACCCCTGAAATGAGGACACCTCTCTAATAAGGAGTAAGGACACCCCTGAAATGAGGACACCTCTCTAATAAGGAGTAAGGACACCCCTGAAATGAGGACACCTCTCTAATAAGGAGTAAGGACACCCCTGAAATGAGGACACCTCTCTAATAAGGAGTAAGGACACCCCTGAAATGAGGACACCCTCTAATAAGGAGTAAGGACACCCCTGAAATGAGGACACCTCTCTAATAAGGAGTAAGGACACCCCTGAAATGAGGACACCTCTCTAATAAGGAGTAAGGACACCCCTGAAATGAGGACACCTCTCTAATAAGGAGTAAGGACACCCCTGAAATGAGGACACCTCTCTAATAAGGAGTAAGGACACCCCTGAAATGAGGACACCCTCTAATAAGGAGTAAGGACCCCCTGAATGAGGACACCTCTCTAATAAGGAGTAGGACACCCCTGAAATGAGGACACCCTCTCTAATAAGGAGTAAGGACACCCCTGAAATGAGGACACCTCTCTAATAAGGAGTAAGGACACCCCTGAAATGAGGACACCTCTCTAATAAGGAGTAAGGACTCAGGGACACCCCTGAAATGAGGACACCTCTCTAATAAGGAGTAAGGACACCCCTGAAATGAGGACACCCTCTAATAAGGAGTAAGGACACCCCTGAAATGAGGACACCTCTCTAATAAGGAGTAAGGACACCCCTGAAATGAGGACACCCTCTAATAAGGAGTAAGGACACCCCTGAAATGAGGACACCTCTCTAATAAAGGGTAAGGAGTAAGGACACCCCTGAAATGAGGACACCTCTCTAATAAGGAGTAAGGACAGTAAGGACACCCTGAAATGAGGACACCTCTCTAATAAGGAGTAAGGACACCCCTGAAATGAGGACACCTCTCTAATAAGGAGTAAGGACACCCCTGAAATGAGGACACCTCTCTAATAAGGAGTAAGGACACCCCTGAAATGAGGACACCTCTCTAATAAGGAGTAAGGACACCCCTGAAATGAGGACACCTCTCTATAAGGAGAAGGACACCCCTGAAATGAGGACACCTCTCTAATAAGGAGTAAGGACACCCCTGAAATGAGGACACCTCTCTAATAAGGAGTAAGGACACCCCTGAAATGAGGACACCCCTCTAATAAGGAGTAAGGGACACCCCTGAAATGAGGACACCTCTCTAATAAGGAGTAAGGACACCCCTGAAATGAGGACACCTCTCTAAGTAAGGAGTAAGGACACCCCTGAAATGAGGACACCTCTCTAATAAGGAGTAAGGACACCCCTGAAATGAGGACACCTCTCTAATAAGGAGTAAGGAGGACACCCCTGAATGAGGACACCTCTCTAATAAGGAGTAAGGACACCCCTGAAATGAGGACACCTCTCTAATAAGGAGTAAGGACACCCCTGAAATGAGGACACCTCTCTAATAAGGAGTAAGGACACCCCTGAATGAGGACACCCCTCTAATAAGGAGTAAGGACACCCCTGAAATGAGGACACCTCTCTAATAAGGAGTAAGGACACCCCTGAAATGAGGACACCTCTCTAATAAGGAGTAAGGACACCCTGAAATGAGGACACCTCTCTAATAAGGAGTAAGGACACCCCTGAAATGAGGACACCTCTCTAATAAGGAGTAAGGACACCCCTGAATGAGGACACCTCTCTAATAAGGAGTAAGGACACCCCTGAAATGAGGACACCTCTCTAATAAGGAGTAAGGACACCCCTGAAATGAGGACACCCTCTAATAGGAGTAAGGACACCCCTGAAATGAGGACACCTCTCTAATAAGGAGTAAGGACACCCCTGAAATGAGGACACCCCTCTAATAAGGAGTAGGAGGACACCCCTGAAATGAGGACACCTCTCTAATAAGGAGTAAGGACACCCCTGAAATGAGGACACCTCTCTAATAAGGAGTAAGGACACCCCTGAAATGAGGACACCCTCTAATAAGGAGTAAGGACACCCCTGAAATGAGGACACCTCTCTAATAAGGAGTAAGGACACCCCTGAAATGAGGACACCTCTCTAATAAGGAGTAAGGACACCCCTGAAATGAGGACACCTCTCTAATAAGGAGTAAGGACACCCCTGAAATGAGGACACCTCTCTAATAAGGAGTAAGGACACCCCTGAAATGAGGACACCTCTCTAATAAAGGGTAAGGAGTAAGGACACCCCTGAAATGAGGACACCTCTCTAATAAGGAGTAAGGACACCCCTCTAGTAAGGACACCCCTGAAATGAGGACACCTCTCTAATAAGGAGTAAGGACACCCCTGAAATGAGGACACCTCTCTAATAAGGAGTAAGGACACCCCTCTAATAAGGAGTAAGGACACCCCTGAAATGAGGACACCTCTCTAATAAGGAGTAAGGACACCTCTCTAATAAGGAGTAAGGACACCCCTGAAATGAGGACACCTCTCTAATAAGGAGTAAGGACACCCCTGAAATGAGGGCACCTCATTGCACAATGTTATTTCATAACCAAAATAATGCTCTGCTGTGAATCTCATGAGAACCACAGCCAATAAGTCTGGCACTATGTTTTTAGTTGAAAGCGAGAGAGGTCATCGCAGTGACACCTTTTTGGCCAGTCGTTTTCTTTTAGGTAGTGTGCTATAGCTAAACATGTCATTTACAATCATCATAATACGTGCACATAAATAAAAAGTAATTGTGGTTCTCGATTCTTTTGTGCTGCTGTAATATAGCCATCAGAGCTGTGTTTGGGACGGTGACAGTAACTCAAGGTGGTAAAATTGTGAATGATTACTCACCATTGTTATGGATTTATCAGAGTGAGTAGATGTTCGTACTGAACCACCGCCAGGCGAAAAGTCTGGGCGAAGTTTCCTCTCGATATCCCGAGCTACTTCAGCCCCGTGGCTCCCCATCTCTCTTCCCCTGAGGGCCTCCAATACTCCGTCCCAGGTGAGCTCGGGCTCGAAATCCAGCCACAGCTGACACATCTTCCACAGCCCGTCCTCGTGGCTCTGTCCGCACACTTTGCGGAGGAGTTGGAGCCTCTCCCTCGGCATCTTTGCCCCCGTCCCGATCTGGTACCAGTAGCGGGAGAGTGGCTCCAGCTTTCTCCTCAGTTCCAGCAATCCCACTGTGTTTCCTGCCAAGAACCCCTTATTTTTCACTATAAAACCTGATTTTTTATATATATAAAAGAGGACCAGTGGTATAATAATAACTGTGGAAAAGCTCACTTGTGTCCAGATGGGTCTTCTTGAAGGTGGGTGGAGTCTTGAATTCATCGACCGTCAACTTGGAGACAAAGTTCTCAAGATCTTCACTGGCAGACGAGTTGGACGGACTGTTAAGCTCTCTCTTTGGTAGGGAGCTCAAAGCAATGTCTGGAGGTCGAGAAATTGCCAGCTTCTTGTGCTGCTGCATTCGAGGAGAGTCCAGTCTTTTGTTAGTGGCACGTTGGATGGGAGCATGTTTGGTGGAGTAGAAGTCATACGCTGCAGCAGGTTCTTGTTTTCTCTGGGGTGGAGGGGTGTTACGAAGAGGAGGCAGTTCGTTTGGGCGAGGTGTCTCCTTTCTCTGGGTTTCAGGGGTCTTCTCCAGTGGTGATGCAGCTCCTGGGAGCCTCGGAGGCTCTCTCCGAACTGGAGGTGTTGCTTGGCCGGTCGATCGAGAAGTTTTCTTTCGTGGGTCAGGGACCTTTCGCACTGGCTGCGGTGGGGCTGCTGTGGCGGTAGTTTCAGTAGGGGATGGAGGCAGACTGGCTCCTTCCTCGCCGGTGATTAGTTCTTCCTCGTCACTTCTCAGTCGAGTGACTCTTCTCTGAGAGGCCTTCTTTTGCTGTGGCCGTGAAGACTGGAAAGGTTCTTCGTCTTCGTGAATAGTGGACAGTTGCTTTTTAGTCGTTGAAGGTCTTTCAAAGTTGGAGTTTTGGAGTGGCTTTTGCTTTGGTTTGCCTGCTTTCACGAAGCAGCGACTGTGGAAATAGTGCAAGGAGAGAGTCACGCCTAGCTATGTAGGGTGTATGAGATGCTGTGTTTTATACTTACCAGACAGCTAGTAGCAGGAGAAGTGCAGTAGCGGTGAAATACACGGCGGCTATGCCAATAAGAATGTACGTCGCAATGTCCTCGTCCAGTGCGTTCCGGTAGTCAACTGCAGAGAGAGCGAGCCTGGTCGGTGCTGTATGCAGCCCCACCCCCCTTTTTGTGCAAAATCTCATTCAAGAAATAGCAACTGTGTCAAAGAAGGCTAACTGGTCTGTATCTTACAGGTAGCAGAGGCGAATGGTAAGAGTAGTAGTGCCATCACTGCGGCACTGGTTTCCACCGCACGCCCCATGGCCGGCCTGGCGTCGAGAGCTCCACACGGCTTAGATCACCGGGAAAGACTGAGTTTCTACAGTTGACGACAAATCTTGTTCCGGCAACTGAAAACTGGCAGTTTAGAGAGGGCTATAGTCCTATACCTACTCTAGTCGAGAAAACTAAAGCGGAATGTCGCGGCTCGCGACACTGGATCGTGGGACGCTGCTAATGAAGCAATGAGCCAAAACCGTCATGAATATCCCTCAATCTATTCACACAGACGTAAACACGCACAACAAAAACACAGTTCATCGTATGTGGTCGTATATCCAGACGCTGTTGGGTCCTGCATCAAAGCTTGCAACGGCTCTCCACTGAGGAAACGGAAATCGGCAGGCAATCACCCTGGCAGTGGGTGGGGCCTCTCTTCTGATCTTCTCCCCTAGTGGCTCCATCTGGGAAACAACACCACAATTCACCAATCACATCCTCTAGTACTAACCATTGATTCCACTCCAAAGAAGATGATATTCTCATACTTGGCGAGGTCAACCTGTGTATATAAAACAGAAAGTGACAGAGTGGACCAGTCACAAAGGAGGACCGACCTTCCAGAGGTCTTTCCGGTGGAACTCTGTGTTGCGATGCACTCCAGTTAGCAGAGCTCTGCATCGCGAATAGAGCACCAGCCACACATTCAGTTCATATCCAACTGCGTAGTGACCCTGCCTGGCAAGATCCATCACCTAATGTGAGAATTTTGATGGAGCTGTTTTGAGCTCATCATTCGTTTGTTATCTTGCTCACCACCCTCCCATCTCCACTCCCCAAGTCCACCACTCTCCCAGGCCTCCCTCTCATGTGGCACAGTACGCTCTCCAACTGGACTGGAGTGGCAGGGACGTAGGGTAGAGCAAATTTCCTGAACCCGGGAGAGACAAAGGGGAGTGCTAGAACCATGATCCCTGCCCCTATTCCTCCTATTGCACAGCCGACTGCCAGTCCCAGTCGACGTAGACTTTCTTTTCTAGCCACTTCTTCATCTGACATGCTCACTCGCGCTCTCGCGTGCACCTTTTGCATATTGACCTTTGATCCTCGTTAGTTTTGGCGCGAAGCGCGAAAGAAGACTGCTGCTGCAAGCTGAGTCTGTCGAGTATGGCCAGTCGACCGTCTCTACGAGAGTCTCTCGGTCTCCCGACCCGCGTGGATGCTCCGGTGCAGACCCAGAAGAAGAAAAGATGTCAGGACTGCCGGGCGGCGGGGTACGGACGTCCGGTGTAGCTCCTCCAAACAGACGGAGAACTCAGGTACTGGCCAAAGGCTCTCGACCGAGCTCATCGGCCGTCGGTCCAGCAAGGTCAGCAGCATAGCACTGCACACTTTCACCCTCCACCCTATCTACATTCCCTGCTGTGCAGTCACAAGCGATCCAGTGTGTATGGTCACGGTGGACACAGCCAACCAAAGAAAGACCCTCGACCTCTCAGTGACAGATGTATGTCTCCAAAACCCCTTCCGTTTCATCTCAGCTATCTCGCACTCTCTCTCACACACAGCCTTCCAGATCTCAGCCACAAAGAAACTCATTGCAGTGAGTTCAATTGCACTAGCTCCAGTCCGTCCATCCTCCACTACCTCTCCCTCACTGTCATTCAGTTCCTGCTAGACAAGAACTACGGAAAGATCTTCACTCCCAAGCAGCTGCAGAACCCCTCCACAAAAGAGTTTCTCCACATATTCAACGTATGCCTGCGTCTCATCAAACGTCTATCCATATTCCAAAGTGTGCTCTCCTAACTGACTGTTCATATAGTTTCTGGTGACCATGATCGACCCTTATCTGGAGGTGAACGGGATGACAATTGTGGAGGATGTTCCCAAAACTCTCAAACTAATGAGGTCAGCTTATCTCCCTCTTTCCTAAGGCCCCTACCTCCCTCTCTCCTTACCTCTTTCCGTAGCTATCCGTTCACAGTGAGTAAGAACCACATGTTGAATGTTGGAAGTCCTCACTCCTGGCCCATTTTGCTGGGAGCTCTTGCTTGGCTGGTTGATGTGAGTTATTCCCCCATCATTGTCTAGTGTTAGCATGAATTACCTAGTCATGTTTGAACTGTGCTCTCCATAGACTCCATTGATAAGAGTTTCTCTCACTGACAGTACTATGTATTGTGTTCTCCTCCAGTGCTGCAGTCTACCAGATCGGACTAAAGAGCTCATGTTTCCCTCAGAGAGTGGCTTTGATGATGGACAACCCACTCCCAAAGAGGTGCATATCGTGCCCATTGAACTAAACCTCCATTATTAGGCCTACAGTTACTGACCTGTACTTCGTCGGTTAACTACTCCTCTCTCCTCTATCTTTTGTCATTGGGTATAGTTATAGCTGTTTGCATGAAAGAAGTCTTCTCTCTCTGTCTTCTGCAACAAGATTCGCTCTCCCTCCTCTTCCCCTGTAGCAAGAGATGTTAGTGGAGTTCTACATGTACGACGTGTACCTACAATATGGCCACGGCTCGCCAGAGTACCAGGAGCTACTGCAACAGAAGGCAGAGGCAGATAGTGAGTTTCACCATATTATATATACACCACGTGAAAATCCTGTTTATTGCTCTCCCAGGACAGCGACTGGAGGAGCTAAAGGAAGGTATGTATGCTGCCTATGTAGCTAGTATATAGTACTGGTATAATGAGCACATAGTTTGCAGGTGTCCTGTAAAACTATGTTATAAGGTTGAGTAACCTAAATCCCTACCTGTGAAATACAGAATGCACAGAGGCTAAATCATCTGCTACGTGTGTTGGTACATAGTTGACTTCCTTCCGTTATCATCCAGCTACTGTGAGAGTGGTTGATGAGAATGAACAGCTGGAGAGGGCCACCGAGGAACTCGCTCAGTCTTCAGTTAGTCATCATCTAAACCGCCTGTGTTTCTCATCCACTCCAACTGTACATGTAACACGCCCATCTCTCTAGATTCCTGTCCTGATGGCAAAGAAGGAAGAAAACAATCAGGAACTGTGAGTGTGGCCTCTCCCTGTCGTATCATCACGACCTGTACCCACCCAGAGCTGCTCTGGAGGAGACAGTGGAGAGAGAGCTGCCACAGACCACCGCTAGAGTCGACGAAGATTTCAACAGACTGATGGCAGTCGAGTCTGAGATCGGTACATACTTTATACCTCTCTGTATGTTTCGTCTCTCTCTCTCTCTCTCTCTCTCTCTCTCTCTCTCTCTAATACATACTCCTTTTTTCCCTTTCTCTCCGTTGGCAGAGATGCAAATATTGACTGGCGAGGAAAAGTGCAAAGAGCTAGAGGTACACGTTTATGTACTACTATTTGCAAATTTCAAATGTCACATATCTCTGTGTGTCTGTGACTGATGTACTAGGAGATGATACGTAACCAGACGATGAGTGCAAAGGACGCCCGAGAGCTCCGTATGAGTATATCTAACGCAGAGTTGGACTTGGAGAAGCATCGCCTGCTGCAGAGGGACAGCATGGCTCGCGTCGAGGAGCTCCAGATACTGCACAACAGGTCTGGAGTTTATATTTGAAATCAGTTATACTCTGTTACAATCACGCATGCATTCCTCGTGATTTTAAGATCAACTTATTCTTCTTATGAATTTACTGTTTACCCCAATTCTCCACTTCTCTCTCTTCCCCAGGAGTGTGGGGTTGATAGACTCTGCGTGTGCCACGGTCAACAACAAGCTCCACAGACTGTCGGCTCTTCTCCCCGACGCGGCGTCCCTCTCTCCTCTGGAGTACGACACGAGTCGCCGTGCCGACCCAGAGGTCCTGGAGAGACTCATCTCTCAGGCCAGGAAACTCAGAGTGAGCTCACTACATACAATACTGACACACCCTGTGGCCTATATAGAGAGGTGCAAGGTATTCCAGATTAACAAAAGTATCCAATTTCCACCCAGTGAAGCCCAGTGCTGTATATAGCATGATAGTAATTTGAGAGCCTCTTGTTACACCACATCCTGTGGGGAGTGCTGGCAAAGGAGTGTCCTAATCCTTTAACCTTTGTTGTTTCCTTGTTATTAAACCCCAGTCATTGTGACTGGCCAGGTGCACTGAAAGTGTAATCTACTGTACATACATCTTCCATTGATCCCCTGTATATAGCAAGAAGTCCATACTCTCCACGAGAGGGTGGCTGCGAGACTGTCTGAGGTGGAGAGCAAGATCATCAGCGGAGAGTCGACTCTCTCCACTGTAAGACTCTAGGACCTCAACTTCCTCCCTCCATCCTCTTCCTCCCTCCCTCCCCTCTCACTCCCAACAGATGCAAAACGAGCTAATGAGAAAGCAACTAGAGAACGAAAATCTCAGACACAATCTGGACATCGAGAAGACTGAACTGGAGCAACAGAAGAAGGTGTGTACGAGAGACAAAAACCACCTTAACAGAAGAATTGTATCAACTGCTGTGTTTGTCTGTAGAAAGTGGAGGAAGCCATGAAGACAGAGCAAGCCGAGATCCATGCTCTGCAGAAGCAGCAGCGAGCACTGCAGCAGAGACTGGAGGAGGGACCGCGAACTAAACTAGAACTGGAGAGAGCTCAACTGCAGTAAGATAAACACTGCTCCCTGCTAGTTTAGCTCCTTTCAGAGGAAACGGGAGCACATGTGTGTTTTTGTTTCAAACTAACTTACCGGGTGTGAGGCTGTAGCCCTAAGATGTGTGTATTGCCATCCACTCGCTTACAGAGGCAAACGGACCTTCTAGATTTGTTTGTTTTTCTCAGGTTTGAGGATGAGGTGATGAGAATGGTTGGTGAATTGGAGGAGAAGGAGAAGGAATATGAACAGTGTGTCATATCCCTTACTTCCGTGGTGGAAATGGCCAAGGTACACCTACCTCAGTTCCTGTGTGTGTTATTATTGCATGCCCTGACTGCTAGTGGTCCGAGTCAAAGGCATGACCTGGCTGCTGTAGTGGTCCCTGTCAAAGGCTTCAAACCGTATTAGGCAGAAGGGGGTTGCATCCTTTTCAGCAATCGGAACCCTCCTACACCATACCATCATGCACACTGCGGTTTCTTGCACACAGTGGCAGAAAGACGAGTTTGCAGCCAAAGTCACAGAGCTAGCAGAGGAATTCAAGGACGTCACTATACCGAGTGTCCCTTCGCGCTACCTACGATCCAACAAGTCTGCAGACAATTCATCTTCTGGTAAACCCAAATGACATATATACTCCACCCAGCCAGCCTGCCTGTGGGCAGGTATATTAACTCTTGTGTGTGTGTGCCAAACTGCATTTCCGTATTTGTCTGTCTTTGTACACATACACGTCACAAAATCCCGATATAGCAGATGTACATTATGCTTATTTTCACTGTTTTGGTCAAATCTATAATATATCTTTGTCTCTCTGGATTATGTATAGTTTTGCAATCTTTCTCTAGTTGCATTCCAAACATATTTTGTCTAATGCCCAATCAGTATACAACCATCCATATTGTGATTCATAGAAAATAATTATCCAGATGGCTAGTCAAGTCTGTTCTCCATTATGGCAATCAGCGGTAGTACTTTGGACAGTTACCTTTGTCTAGCATCCATGCCTTGTCAAATGCCTCTACAACACCTACATATATACACACACAAACACAGTAACAAATTGGTACGTAGGTACGAGAGACATACGTTTGTCTAATGGTCCCTCTTCGCAAGCCTCCAAGTTGCTCACCAAATGCTCCATTTTACTTGCCCCTATAATAATGGCATCTAATGGGGAAGACAGAGCGAGAAAGACCAAGTTAATTGCAGAAGAGTCGTATTTCAACGTGCTAACCTCCGTGGTCGGGGGACAGTTGTGAATGATGGTTGAGCCACCGCAGTGCTGCGCTAATCATGGCCACTTGTCCCACCCCGTAGCTCTCGTCCAGTGCCGCTCTCACCAGATCCAGGCCATCAAACACGGACTTCCTCCAGAACCTATCACAATATCTGGAGAAACACACACTCCTTTATATATACCCATTCTCAGCTCTACATATTACTACTGTATGGGCTTAAAATTTAAGTGAGACATGTCAGAGTTTAAAATTTTGAATCTACCAACATTTTTACAGCAAAATTAGCTGTCCAGAGCTCCGCATCACATGGTCTAATACCTTCATGTTAACTTTACCGCTATGATAGGCAATTTGATGGCTGGCAATCACACTGTATTTGTGAGGTGCTTACGTACATCGTTGCCCATTTGTTTCCAGGTGAAAAGAACCTTCCCTCGGGCTTCTTGTCTGTGTCGGAGAAGGTATAGCGGCCAGTCATAATACCTCCAGCCAGCTGTGGGGCACATTGTGGTGACACGATAATCTGCTGTGTGCTTGAGGCAGTACTCACAGGATTGTAGGCATAGAACCTGATTCCAAAGTTCCTGAGACACGGAAATAGCTCCCCCTCCACCATCCTTTATTTTTGCGCGCGTGCATGTGTGTGCAAATATCGGGTTGTGTGTTGGGAAAAACAGACACAAGAGAACCTTTATCTCGAGGAACACTTTCACTAGCAGGCTAGGTCCCAACAGGACGTTTTAGCAAACCAAGTATTGTACAGTTACTACACCAAGTGCTGTGAAGTCTTTCTGTGTCGTACCTAGTGATTGCATTGTACATTCCTTGGTACAGTGTTGGCATGACCCAGCCGTTTGCCTTGCAGATGTGGTACGCCTCAGCCTATATAGCGGCACAAAATTAATCAGAAACTGTTGAAAACATGATCCTCTGAGTCTCACCACTTCCCATGATGCAAAGTTAGACAATGCAAGGTCCTTGAATTTCCCCTCTATTGGAAATGGGAAACTAATCATTTTGGGAAATGACAGGAGCTGCCCCACCTTCGTGGAGGGTGTTGACAGCCCTGAGTGTCTCCTCCAGAGGTGTGGTGTGGTCCGGGGCATGGAGGTAGAAGATGTCGAGGCAGGAGCTCTGCAGACTGGCCAGACTGGTCTCCAGTTGCTTCCTAACACTGGCTGCTGACAGGGTCTTATTGTCCCACGGGTTTGCCTTGGTGGCCACCACTACCTACTAGGCGCCCTGCCTGGTCTCATGTGGAGGTGGCACGGGAAGGCTGACCTTGCTAGGCTTCTTCTCATTCAAGTATCTTCCTAAGACTTGCTCCGACTTTCCTTCCGCGTACCTGCAGCCGGGGAAATTCTGACGGTTTTTTTGGGAGCCTGAGAGGACTTACATTAGTGCTGTGTCGATCTCGTGCCAACCTTTCGAGAAGAAGTGGTCCAGCAGTGGATGACACTGGAGATGTTGCACGATGCATGCATCAGTGTCGGTACGCGCGTGAGGCCGCGCCGGCAGGCTAACGCACCGCCTCGTCCTTGGCTAGATTCTTGCCGCCAAGTGCCAATGCCCCCAACACCACGTTCAGTCGAGACGCCATGTTCTTTGGTTGAGCTGAGCTCCACGTATATACACCCCGGTGTGCACCACGTACCACGAGGCGCCGATTACCTCTGCGCGTGCGCATAAAAGGTTCCGCGTTGCCACGGAAACGCGCTACATTTCCCCGTGGGATCCGGGAGAAAGGGTGTCGTGTTGCACAAAGTCTTATGCAAGAATGTGATCAAGCCATAGGTTTGTCATTATACACAAATTCACAGACACGCAGCATGCACTGGTACACACACACACTGTTACAAAATTGTACTGCGAGTCTCAGAGTAGAGATAAAACTTGCTTTTCTGCGTCATCAGTTTTCTGACATCGACTTTCTTGTAAATAATCTGGTAGAGTTTGGGGACGTATATTGCGACAAGTGTGACATCACTTGAGACTATTACCCACACCGTATTCACCGCAAGGGCTTCGGCAATCTTGAAAGAGATGGACAGGAGTACTTGCAAGGGAAGTCCAACCATAAAAACAATGGCTGTCACGTACAGTGCAATGGCCAGGAATTTCGAGTCGTCGTATATCTTTCTCTCTATGACTCCCCTCCGTACAAGACTCACTACAAAGGTGAACAGTAGCATCTGCAACAGTTTGTACACTCCTACTATCCCTGTTACTATGGCGTAGTTTTCACTGAAGCACCCGAGGTAAGTGCAAGCTGAATAGGTGTTGTAATCGACCTCTGCTCGAGCTATAAAGCGACCGTAATTGTTGGGGAAGGCAGTTACTGTCACGAGAAAAATATCGACCACTCCAAGGACTGCAACTATTACAATCAGGTGCTTGTCGGTGTACTTTCTGCTGGTGACAAACGGGTTATTGAAGATTCGGTATACCCGCCATGCCCGGGTAAACAGAGTCCCAAACGTGCAGGTAAAGCTCAAGGGGAGCAAGTAGAATCTCACGATGCAAAAGGTGGTGAAAAGCTTGGTGGGTAGCTTAGGGCCCAAAGTAGACTCGAGCAGAACTAAGATGTAGATTGTTGTGAATGCCATAAAGGCCCCTGTGAACACAATGTAGTTCAAGCGTTGGCCCGAGGCGAGGAAGATGCGGTGGTTGCGATAGCGGATGACAAATCCTAGGAGAACGACAGCACCGACGTTGCTGGTGATAGTGATAATGAGAACAACAATGAGGATTGAGAGAGTGGCAGTCTTTGGGTCATCAGACGGAAACACGCCAGGAACCTCTCCGCCGGGCCAGCGGAGCAAACTACTGTTAATCTCCAGCCGGTCTGTCTCCGAGTGGTAGGTGCCAACCAGGACCAGTTTCCCACTCTGAATCTGCTGGACAACGTCAACCCCCATCCTCTCCCCGGCAGAACTGAACGCTACTCTCCCCGATGCACCAGTGAAGTTTGAATCGGCAAGGGAATTGAGGATGGCTTGAAAGAGTGAAGTATTGTAGGGTGCTATTGTTGTGTTGCTATAAGAGGTGTCCTCTGCAGAGGCATTGAGGAGTGGGAGGGAGTTTTTGATGGCCAGACCGAGGGCAAGGAGGGAATCATAGGTGGTGGCAAAGAAAGTATTGGGAGCTCTTCCTATTGTTTCAGGGCACCATGAGTTGAGTCGATCTGTGTAGTCCAGTTTCAACTGCGTGAGGTTGCTCCCTAATACAAACTGGTCATTTGACAGAGTGTTCTTGACCTGACTCGACACGGATATCAGAGACTCGATGTCAGCATCCTCCAACCCACACGAACAAGTCTCCCACCAGTTTTCCTGGTAGGCACCCACCAGTAGGTAAGAAAATCCGTCTCCGGGAACAATGCCAGCCTTTGCTTCGCACACAACTGCACAGGCACTCTCCACACCCACCAGTCCCACTATCACACGAATGTTTAGGCGGCGAACACCCGTCATGAACTCCTTCACTGTGTTATCTCGACCATCGCTTGGAATCGCCACGAACGCGTCTCCAGGGACGGTGATCTGGGTCTTGCTACTCACTTGTAGCGTGAAATCACCTCCGCTGTCCCTCACGATCAGTTCCACTGTCCTGGTGTACAGCGGTAGATCATCGTATACCAACGCCACTTGCTCCGTCCACTGAAAATGTTCCATGACCCGCAGCCCCGTCTTGGTGATGTGCAACACGTTGCGGACGACGAAGAAGAGGTCGGGGAACTCTTCTCTCTTCTCTTCCGGCGTCACGACGGGGACGCTTGTCTCGTTAGCGTAGGTGACCTGCGGGAGGAACAGCCCGTGAGCCAGCGAAGAGAGGGAAGTTGTCACGTCCAGACAGCCCGGTCCCAGGACGGCAAGGTGCGGGTTCCCGCTCCCCAGGTTCTCTTCCAAACTCAGCATCAGCTCATGGATGGCGACGAAGCGGTCGCAGCTCGAATTCCGTAAGTCCAGTTGAAGGTGGTAGGGGTACAAGCCCTCTGTCTCTACGGCTCTGTTCACCTCTTCCATGGCTATGACGGCCGCGGGGAGCAAGTAGTGCATAGCCGCTGCAGGAGGATCATCATCTTCTCCAGGCAGTGGAAAGAAGGCGGTAATCGTGATCGGCTTCGAGTCAATCGAGCGAGGGCCGTTCACCCGCAGCTCACCTGCGCAGCCGGGCACTTGCAAGAGGGCGGGTCCCGTCCCTTGAGGTAGAACGACTCCTCCTTTGCAGCAAGTTACGGCTAGCAGAAAAAACAACGAGAGCACAAATAACGATCTGCTTCTCTTTTCCTCCATCTCTTCTAGTCTACACGAAATACAGACTTCTATATACACCCCCAGATTTTTACACTGCTGGCAACCGCGGCGGATCTGACGTGTCACCTCAGCTAACCGCAATGATGTTGCATGCACGATCAGTGAGCGGAAACACACCTAGGACTTCTGACCCATGACAATAAAAACAGGAAAGGTGGTATCTAAGAGGGGATCTTCTTCGGTCCCCTGGGCTTGTAATGCAGCCTTCAGTCCGTCTTGCAAGTCGCGAAGGGATGTGCTGTGAGGGTGCTTCTCCAGGAAACTGCAGTAACCCGACCACGTCGAAACGTAGCCGGCGAAGTGTGAGAGCGACATTCGGCAGGTCATTTCCAAATCTTTCCGCTCGGATACGGCGAAAGGACTGTCCAACTGAACCTCCACGTACTTGTCATCGATGTGCCTCCTGTTCTCGTGCCAGTAGCCGCCTCGCCTGAGGCTCGAGTAGAACTCCGATACCAGTTTCCGGGCTTCACTGCTGCAGCGGAGCTCCACGTTACCGTAGCCGTACACTGCGACGGTCCCCTTCGGCCGCAAGACTCTGGCCGCCTCGCGGTAGAAGGAGGCGGGCTCCAGCCAATGCCAGGCCTGCGCACACGAGACCAGGTCGACTGAGGAAGACTCCAGAGGAAGACTGGCGGCTGAGGCAACTCTGAACTCCACCTCCTTTTTGCTGGTGGTGACGTCAGCCCGCTGTTTCTGTCGCTTGGCCTTGGCATTCTGGATCTGCGCCTCGCTCACGTCCACTCCGAGGACTCCGTCGAACAGAGAGGCGAGGAAGAAGGTGCTCTGACCGGACCCGCAGCCTACGTCCACGGCCGAGGAGAATCCCGAGCCTGAGTGGGTCTTGATGAAACTGGAAATTGTATCGAGGACGGCCGGTGGATAGCTCGGACGAAAAGCGGCGTACGACGCCGCGTGGGCAGTGTCCTCGAACAGTCGTATAGTAGTACCAGCCATGGGACTCGAGAGTGTGGCTACCTGCTTGTTCTGCGCATGCGCAAATAATGTTTTTGTAATAAACGACTCATTTACTGATTCTCAACCTCCTACAGAGTTCCTCTCCATACATCTTCCTCTCCAACTGAGCAGTCTGTGAAGTCTTGTTGTTCTCTTGTGCACGTCGGACAAGGAAAGGAATAACGTCTCCCTCGTCTCCGTAGGCCAATATTTTCAGTGCAATGTAGCCTCTCTCTGCGAGGGAGTAGGTAATGTAGTCTGCCATGCCAGACAGCTGGCCTAAACAAACAGAGCCAGTATCATGGGGAATCCTTAGTTCCTGCATTGACTGAACGGCTCGCTCGACTGATTGTCTATTGTGAGTTGCAACTAGGAGTCCTCCTACCCCAGACTCCGGGGTACCCTGAGCTAATTCCTCCAGGACACACCGGACACCTCGGTCGTAGTTGGAGTCTGTCACCTCCTTTGATGGGTGAATGGGGTACTCTTGACCTGTCTCTTCAGACATCTCTCTCTCGTATTGCATGTAGGCTCCACGAACCTTAGCAGAAGACAGAGAGCCAGTGGCTAAGACTGCTAGACTTTACACGTGAGCTTCATACCAGCTTGGCTCCATAGCTGAAACCTTTGATCTTTGCAGCAGCAATATCAATGAGCAGGTCTTCTAGAGACCTCTGTTACAAAGAGTGATGCTAGTAATGTGGTTGATGAGCATAGAAGTGCACTACCTTGAGGTACATTTGGGTGGTGTTGTAGATGAAAGGCTTGGAGATGTTGAAGCGAGGCATCATGTGGTGTACTGTGAGGTGGTGTATTGCAGGCTGGAGTCTGGACTCCTCCGCATCCACTAGCACCCTCACTCCCTCCCTCACTGCGCACTGTTCAGTGAACATTCCACGACACTTCTATATACCACAACACTCAGTCTATACCTCTCCAATGTTGTCCAGCCTCTCAATGAGTCTTGCCAATTGCTCCCTCTCAGTGGCAGTCAAAGGAGACACCTGGGCCCGAGGACAGACTAAAACTTCTTTCTTTCTCTATTATGAACCTTCCCTCACCTTGCTAGCCTCCTCTAATGCTGACAGGTCCTCATCCACATTGAAACTGCTCATCAACTTGGCGATTTCTACTTGTTTTCTGTATTATATTATAACACATCCAGAGTGATCCCATTATACATTATAATTTTCATAACTCACTTCTCTTTTGCTGCAGTAAGCTCACCCACCTCCTTACATAAGAAGGCTGAATAATTATCTTATTACACACAACATTATAACAGACCTTCAGTGGACCTTGAACTGTCTCCAGCATATGGCTGAATTTAAGCTGAGGGGGAGAAGTGTTGTAGTACTAACTGGTTTCTAGGGGAAGGTTTAGTTGAGAGTAATGTGGTGTCAACATTGGCATTGAGTATTTAGCACAGTAAGATTTTATCAATCAACAACATACCAGTATGTGAGGCTGCACAATCGCAGTCAGTTTGATTGCTGCCATCTTGACGGGGCTTTCCACGTGGTTGTAAACTCCTGCATGGGAAAAGAAACTGAGCAATCATTATCATCCGCCACTGCGGCTGTGCTGTAAAATTAATACCTGACAGACAAATGCTCTTGAGGTAGCGCTCAGTCACTTGGTCGAATCTGGCCTCCTGTTGACTCAGATCAGCACCTTCCTCACTACCAGAATAACCGTCATTCATCATCAACATCATCGTGCAAGTAACTCCAACCCTAGACTCACCTGAGGTCTTGTTCAGTTGAGAAGTTCCAAATGGAGCAGATGTTCCTGGATGCAATCTTCTGGGCCACACCTCTGGCCTCGTCCTCTGAGAATCCTCCCAGAAATTGGCCTCCTATTGACATCTTCAGCAGTCCCCGAGTCATACCCACTCCCAGTAGCCTCTTGGACACATTGTACAACTGCACACAACAACAAACTATATTGTATATACACGTGATGCGACGATGTCTTGTTAATGACGACCTGCTATTCCACTAGCTATACACTCAATGGCTCATCGCACTCGAAATTCGCCCGCCATAATGCGTATGATGCCAGCTGATCATGACTATATACGCAAACGAAGGTGGCTAAACAGAGAGGATATGAATTCCGTGGCTACCAACAGCATGCAACGAGTGGATAATAATACCGTGAGACTGTTGCGAACGATCCAGTCGTAGCCGAGCAGTTTGAAGACAATCCAACTGCGCACGATCTCGCCCAGCGGCTTGCCGGCCAGTACGGATGACTGCGGAGAGAAGTACGCGTCTCTCCCCTGTAGCTGTGGCGGCGCGGCGACAGTAGGCCGCTCCGCAGGAACGGAGTAACTGCGCACCCTCAGAGGACCGGCAGTCCGTCGGAGAAGAAAACGACCGTATCCGTATCCGTATCCACTCATCTTGCACTTCTGTAGAACGTAATCATTTATCTGGCCGGGAGGGACCAGCGTCGATATAAAACTTGATCGACTTGTTATGTACGCGCATGCGCACGCGCGGTTGATTCAACATAATTATCTATACGTAATGTGCAGACCCTTTTTTGGAAAGCGAGAATGTCCCATCTGCAACAACCCCATCCACCAGAGCACTTCGTACTTTGAGCACGTGTGCTCCGACCACTGCAACAGGGATGTATCTGTCGAGGGAGCTCTGGAAGCCATTGAAGGAGGTGTTCACGAAAACATCCTCACAATCCTCTCCAACTCTCTCTAATCTCTCCTCATGTTCACGTCATTGAGTATATACTTTCATTTTTATTTATGGATAATCGTATCCCTCTTGGGGCTCATAACATGAACTTGAACTGATTATGTAAGATTATGTGAAAGAGCTATTCTGGTCTGTTCTTTGGTTTGGGAGGTCTCTCGGTGCAGCCAATGCCAATAGCAAAGGCAAGGCCTATCACAGCCACCCCTAGTGTGCCCAGCAGTATCCTCCTATATGATTCCTCCTTCTGTTCCTAAATGAAAGGCCATAGAAATCAGAGGAAAGTTTTGCACCACACAAGTTAGGTAAACTGTTTTATTACTCATAATACGTACCTTAGTAAGATAGATATTGATGAGCCCATGTTTCCTGTACTTTTCTCTATGCGGCAAGACATCGCTGCAGCCATCACCGAGCGTCATTGTTCTAGTGATCACCACTGTGTCGTCCTCGCCCTCAGAGCTGAGCTGGGTCTGGAGATACTGGTAACACGATACCCCGGGGCCTGGCTCCTCTGGCCCATTCACAGACCTGCAATTGCAGGAATCACACACTCTATACAATAGGAGAACAGTCACTTGAACACCAACACATTGTACTGCAGTGATCAAGTTCTACCATAATTATAAACACTTAGAGGTTCTTAAATTTCTAATTTCTCAAAATATTATATTTCTGCATGGGATTTGCATTAACTATGTATATAGGAGGGGGCAAAAGGCCAATTCAAAGACACTGCCTTACTGACTGGAGAACTCTTGTTCCAAAGGTGAAGTCAGTGTTGGGGATCTGGGGGTGCCTGGAGGGTGTGGCAGTGGGCGGGGCTGAGATATCCAGGCAACCAACGAGGCTGCCGGAGCTGTTTCCACTGCCATCTCTCAGAGAGACGTAGAGAGTCACATTCACCAGATGGTCTATCCTCTCACCAGACACACTGTCTGTACAACCACAACACACAGAGTGACAAATTACACTATTGGAAAAATATGAGGAAAATCACCTTTTATCTTGGTCCTGAGGTCCTCTCCCGTGAGATGTGCTACAAATATCTCAGCCCCAGCCCCCACAGCACTGCTGTCCACATGGAACTCCACACAGGCAGAGGCTACTTGTTCATGAGGAGAGGAAGAGGGGACGTTGAGGGGCGCGGTGGCTTTACCCACGCACAGTCCCATACTCGGCAGTCGACCAAGATACGCATTCCAGCTCTGAAACAATCGGGTATATACTGATTGGTGCAGCGGTGCAGCGTGCCTACCCGCATGGTGTCCAAGTCTGGAAGCTGGTCGGCGTTTCTGATGTAGGAGGCCATTGGCGGCATAGAGACGGTGATGAAAATGAACGACACGATAAAAGTGAACGAGGCTGGCTGAGCGAAGACGTAGGCCAGAATTCGCAGCGTCAGCACATCCCAGATGAACCGTCTGATCCTCCCGTCCTTCTCCTTCTCCTTCAGCTGGTCCTCGGGGAGTCTGGTTGAGCTTCCTCTCGCGCTGCTAGCCATTATCCCTAATTGACGCCCCCCCAAACATGATAGCATTTATGCGCATGCCCAGACTGCGGCTCTTGACCGGACCCGCCGCGCACACGCAGGGTAATGCTTTTCTGTGGAAGTCGGGAATGCTATCCTTCCCGTCGAGTAACGCGTCACTTTCGGAGGTCGGAGGGGTGCGTAACTGTCTGATCTCCAGCGATGAAGGCGTTTGCTGGCTCTCAGCCACCGAAGTAAGTTTTAGCAATAAATTTCCGAGCGAAACGATGTTCCGCAGATAGCTGTAGACCCAAGGTAATAACCTTCAGTAGTATTGTTATTACAAAAAAAGCATGTGTTAGAGCTGCCTATCAGGTGGAAAATGTGCAGCCTAGTCTCCGGAATTAGTGTTTCAATGCTAGTCTGAATGGCTAGGCTGTGTCACTCTATTGTGGTCAACACTCTGTGTCTTTTCAGACGGCAAAGAGAGACGCTATTGCAGGTGTACGTATTGTGACCTCCTGCCTCAGGTATTCAACACCGCATCCTAACGTCCACACATCTGGTAGTGTACCGGCAACAAATTGGCCATACATCTAGTCTTAGCTGCAGTGTTCTGTGAGCAAACTTGTGAACCGTCTGTTTGTGTTCCTGCAGCCTTCTAGGCACTCTTTCAATCATCTGCTCTGCCATTGCTAGGAGGAAAGTCTGCAGTCCTAAGGTAAAGAGAGCATAACGTCCTCTAAGTTTGATTGATCTCTATTGCTACTATCTAGGTTCATCCAATCTTGGTTTTGTCAGTTGCCGACTGTCTTTTGGCAGGGTTCTGGGTGGCTGGAGGGTTACTGTGGGTATTTGAGCTCTCAGCTCACTGGAGAATATCTTGTCTTGTCATTTCTTCTGCTACTGTTGTGAGAAATAGTCAGCCTTGCATCGACTCTGATCCCAAATTGATGCTTCTATCATTCCAGGCACTGGAGTGCATCACTATAAATCTGACTCTCGTCTATGCTCTTTTTGCACTCACGCATCTCAAAGCCAACCGTCTGCCCTCGGCTCTTTTCTACGTGAGGTCCCAGTCTCGTTATCCCAATCTGTCTTCTAACTCTCTAACTATTTGTTTCAGCCTTACCAAACACCAACTGCTGTCTTCCGCCCCATCAAGACTACACTGATCTACCTCCTAGCATGGTGAATACACCACAAACACTGCTTCTATGCGGAAAGTCTGGTATAATGTAGCTCTTGATGACCTCAGGTTTCTTCCAGTGTTACTAGTCCTGGTCTTGTTTCTGAGTGTCTTGGGCACGTCTAACACCATTCAGAGTGTCGGCAAGTGTAGCTGCTGGTAAGTAGCAGATATTTCACTCCACCAGGAATACTTTTATTTCTCTCCCCTTTGTTCCCAGGTGCATGCCAGATTTTTCCAATGTGCTACCGTTGGCACCTCTAATAGACCGCGTAAGATGAGTCTAATCCAAACACGCAATACAGTTGACTGTTTCTTCTGCTCCTCAGGCAACGGTTCAATATAACCACAGTCTAAAGACGCTAGTACTGGGCTATGCCTGTATTGTGTTTGTCCACTATCTCTTTGTTTTTCCTTCTCTTCTGGCCACATACCACTGCACTCTCAATCTTATTAAGACCATCAGACCCAGCAACAGTGAGCTCCATACCCACCTCAGTATAATAATTGATGATTGCTGATTTTTTCAGAGGAGGGAAGACTCTCAAGGTATTATGGAGCGACCGAAGTGGCCTACTTCAGGGGGCAGTCGGAAGCTAAGCAAAGAGTCCTCCTCTATTTACTTACATTTATCATTTTAGGGTTCAGTAGTAAGTCTCTTTCGCCCCCCCTCTCTCTCATCACTAATTATACTGTCCGTCTCTGCAGACTGCTTGTTGTCGTTCATAGTCATAGTCAACCAATCAGTGGAGGGGCTGTCCCCAGAGTCCAGCCACTCTCTTCCTATGAGTCCTCACACCTTCTCCTCTCCCTCTGGATCCACTTCATTCAGCAACACTCTCCTAGCAGTCTTCCTTTTACAGGTATACACACACACACACACTGACACACACACTGTTCAACACATTGTGTGAGCACTGCAGTGTGGCGATTCTAGAGTTGTGGTAGCACAAAATGGAAGTCAGAATTTGTTTTCAATAGATGAATGCTGTGATGAATGCATTGTGACCAAACTACACTTTATTACTTTTCACGACTGCACATTCCATTTGAAGAGCTCAAAACTGATTTTCCTATGCAGTCAGTGACAGTGCCTCTGCAAGGGTTCCTGAACGCCATAGTCTACGGCTGGACCAGAGGAGACTTTCTCCAGGTGATGGCCATCTCTACCAGCATCAGCTCCCACTGCTCACACACCGAGGAGACCGACAGAGAACACGGCACAAACTGCGACAAGATGGAGAGGGACACACCAGAACTTCTCTCAGGGACGTATGAATAGATCCCAACTTTGTCTGTCGCCTTGTTTCTAATGTCTGAGACACCAATTTAAAAAAATTCATTCATTTGACGTCAACTCTAGCTAGAAGTAGATTTTAAAAGAGTTTGTGTGTAAGGGCAGGAGTCAAGGACTGCGTCTGAGTTGGTGTCCATTTTCCCCGTTCCTCTTCTTCTTTCTCCTCCTCCTCCTCCTCCTCCTCCTCTTCTCTGTTGAAAACAGCCCATGTTTCCCCCAGTTCCCCGCTGGCAGTCCTACTGTCTCCTTCTCCGTGCGTCAACATCAGTCTTTGAACGTTGCCGAAACTGCTGCTGCCACCACTGAATGCCATAATGTGTAGGAAATTCTCTCTGGTCCAGCCGTACACAATCGCATTCAGGAACCCCTGCTGTGTGATTGAGAGAGCCTGGAGTGTGGCAAACACCATGTAGAACGCCTTGAAAGATAGCCCCTTCCCTTTCTCCAGGGTTTCCTGGGTACGCAGCTTGTCTATCTCGTGTGCCATCACTCCAATTGTGAAGATGAAATCTGAAACATGGATCAGGTCAGTGACCTGATAATTAGAGGCAGACCTCACTCACTGAAGAATCCACTGAGAATGAAAGCCGTCAGGAAACAGAAAACTCTTTTCCGAGCCTTCGACTCTCCTTTGCTAATAAGAGCCCACCTCTGGCCCCTCCCCTCACTGCCGTAAGTACAGCAGGTTTTACTGGGGTCTGTCATGAAATGAGGTTGTGTGTGTGTACAGTGAAATCCTTTATTGGCACACACACACACACTGTAACCATTGCTAATAAGAGCCCACCTCTGGCCCCTCCCCTCACTGCCGTAAGTACAGCAAGTTTTACTGGGGTCTGTCATGAAATGAGGTTGTGTGTGTCAGTGAAATCCTTTATTGGCACACACACACACACTGTAACCACACACCATAGTTATTCTTGAGTTGTCTGATCCGTTTGAGGCACTTGTGGTAGATGGTCACCAAGGCCACTAGTCCCACCAGGAAATGTGTGGTGATCACCGCACCATACGCCACTAACAGCTTCCTCACGTTGTGAACAAACTCAGCCGTCCCCTAGGAAAATTGCCATCGGATTGAATCATTGAATGTACTGCCGCGGTAACTATGAACTTGTTGTATGTGGACGGCGTAAGGCATAACGTTGCTGAGAACTGGAGCACACCAGCAGCTGCATATGTCAGCGTTCTGGAGGATATTAGTACTCCCTGCAACAACTCCAAACAATCCCAATACAATCACTGCCGGGAGACACCTTAGAGCCAGAAATGGAACAACTGCAGTGAAAATACTACATGACATGTGACTGGAGCCACATACCAGGCAATAGAGTAAACCAGCACTGTCTTGATTTTGGACCATCCATATGTGGAATCAGGGTCCATATATGCCTGTGAAGTCACACTCAGCATTGGGCAGATGTGTACACATGTCGTGTTCTCTTACCAGCAGGCCAGACAGGTCAGTCTTCTTGATTATGAGTAGGAGACAGAGGCATACACCACTGTCAGGTTGACTGACACACACACCAACGTCTATACCTCAGTAAGTGGGACATTATCACAAGGCGTCTAGCTATAATACGTAATTGCCCAATTACCCTACCACTGTAAGGAGAGAGACAATGAAACAGAATTGGCGATTCTCGACCCCTCGCAGCCACAGTGCCCCTCCAATTATCCACAGCAGTGCCAGACCAAGGTCAGCCACAGCCAGAGAGAAGATTGGTAGGACCTGTGACAGAAACAGCAGGGATCCAGGTCTTTTGCAATGATCCATGTTGCAACATACTACCAACAGCTAACAATACCAAACTATAGGTGGATCATTAGTGGCTTTGCTAGTTTTATTTTACCTTGGGGTGCCCGACTTCTCTCTTCTTGATGGCGGAACCGATGATTGATGATGCGCCCAGTAGGCTGTGTAAGCAGAGTGTGACTTAGTGTAGCAAGTTGCCCACACTGGTCGTCTTTCACGGTGTGTACTGTTGTAGCCGCTCACCTGAGACACGAAATGATCATCCTCAGACTTGCAATGGTGTCCCACACGGCAGTCTGCATGAGTAGAGAGAGCGCCAGGGAGAAAGTCGCTAGCTGAACGACTAATCCAGGACCGACGAACCGTAGGGGCGCTGAGGACGCAGCTCGGCCGCTGCAGGTTGCCATCGCAGCCGGGAAACCTCGTTTCATTGCTGGGATCATCAAGCCACGACATTATTCCCGCAGACGACTCTCAGCGCAGCTAGCTAGGATTGGAGGGGCAGGGCTGCTAGCGCGCACGCGCACGTGTGGGGTTGCAGACTGCAGAGTGAGCAATAAAAATCATTGCTGCAAAGAGGTTTCTAGCTGATCCTCATAATCACTGTTGTTGTATGTGGCACTGTTGAAAGAATGTTCTCTTGAAATTTCACCTCTCCTTCTCCCTGGTGTGTCCTGCTGACCTGGCTCCTCCTCGTCCTCGTCCTCTGAATCTGAGATACCAATGTCTGAAACTAGCTGCGTGACATCACTATGGCGTTTCTTCTGTCCACCAAGGGCCATGATGCTAAGGAAATCTTCTCTGGTCCAGCCGTACACTATAGCATTCAGAAACCCCTGCTGTGTTATCGTCACTGACTGCAAAAATTGTGCACGAAGGTCACGATCTGGATGATAAAAGTTATCTGAAGGTATAATATACCTGCAAACAGAGCGTGACGTAATAGATTTTCTCAGCCCTGGCTCGATTTTCGTGTACGGCCGGACTTTGGTGCTCCCCTTTGCCCAAATTCACTATGTCAAAAAACATCAGCTCGACACAGAGAATGAGGTCTGAGTAAGAGAAGGACACAGCGTATATACAACCAGATGGTATGTCATTGTATCTGGCTCACTGAAGAATCCAGTCACCATAAAGACTATCAAGAAGTAGGTGACTCTTCTCTTTGCCTGAAACTCTGCTCGCTCCAGTACAGGCTCTGTTAGTGCGTGACCCACTGCACCATAGTTACCCGTAGCACCCTGACCTCCTGGACCGTACGAACAAAACAACTATGAATAGTCTATGCAGCAGGTGTGAATTCTTCAATATCATTACTACGTAGCAGTTTCTGACCCAAATGGCAGAATTAGAGTACCTCTATTATGCAGCATTATACCCCTCTCTATCATGCATTATGTTCTGTATAGTACTTACGTGTAGCATTTCTTTCCCTCATTCTACGGATCGTCCTTATCATTAATCCATAGACGATTATGAGAATGATGAATCCTGCCAGAAAGTGGGTCCCAATCACTGCTGCAAATGCAACAACCAACTTTCTCATGTTTCCCCTGAACTCAATTGTCGCCTGCAATGCAGACGCAGTCATTAAACATTATGAGAAAAAGTGAACTTGCGGTAACTTACGGGATCTCTGCCTTTGGCACTGGGGATGATGTTCCCGAGAGAGGGTCTACACCAGCAACTGCAGTTGTTCACGTCTTGCAGAAGATCAGTGTCTGTCACAACCACAGCAAACAGCAGCATCACTAGGACCATTGGCAGGAGCCTGGTAGGTGAATGCATGGGGGAGGGGATGCTTCAATTGTCAAGTGGGAGCTACCCACCAGGCTACTAGGTAGGAGAGTATTGTCCTGCAGTTACTCCACACTCGCTCGCTGTTATGGTCTCCCTGGCAAAAGTGTAAACTCTCTCTGACTTTATCCACGGCAATTACACTGGTGTCTGATACCTGTTGATTTCCGTTGCATTTCTGCTTGACTCCAGCATGCGCCAGTATAGCATACAGTACAGTCAGGTTCACAGTTACACACTGCAGTATCTGCAGCAATTGACACTACACCCGGTAGCTACATTATAGGGAACCAGACATGCTATGCACCACAGTAGGGAGAGTGACAAAAAAGCACCAGCCCCTTGAAGTTGCAGTAATGTCTGATCTCAGCCAAAGAGAGCTCCCAACAATGTAGAGCAGAGACAGCATTGCATCAGCTATGGACAGGACAAATATGGGGTGAACCTGGGACAGTTTGAGACACCAGTTAGAGCTGAAAGGGAGGGTGGGGGGCAGGCACAAACTTTGTGGTTGAATATTTCTCTCTTGCCGAGAGTGATGGATATGATTGTCAGTGCTCCCATCAGACTGTGGGCGAACATTAGTGCACGCAGTTTACTGTAGCGGCGAGCTTGATTACCTGAGGCAGGATATTACTATCCTGACGGCAGCCACGGAGTCCAACTCGCCATACTGAAGGATTGAGAGGCGGACAATGAGCGTAGAGTTAGTTAGCTAGTTAGCTAATGCAGTCTTAGTTTTTTTATCAGCGGACCTACCTCTGCGGACGAGAGCAGGCAACTCGGCCGTGAGAGATCACCGTCGCACGTCCAGTTGCCCTCCATCGTACACTTATGGTCTCAGTGTATGTATCTATACGCTTATACCAACGAACCTGGGTTGGGCTCGCGCTCGAGAGGTGAGCGAGAATGATCATAAAACGATGTGTAGGTGTGATGAGAAGTCGAGGAGGGGTGGGGCTCAGAATGTTGCAGCACTGCACGCCGAATAGTCGAGCGCATGATCTTCAACAATAAGGTCGCATCGTCAGATCAGAAAACTGCCCCATCAGACGTATGTAATGACCATGAATGAAATAATCCACTACCATCGTCACACAATGACTATACTACATGGCAGCAGACTCAGCAGCTCTGTTTATCTCTCCCTTAAACCGCTGCCTGTTCCGACTACTGTAGCTGAATGATCTTGGTGTCTTCTCTCTATCTTCCCTACTGGAACCAGAGGACCCAAAGATATCGTGGCCTCCACTATCAACAAGTCCATTGCCCAGCCTCCCCCTCCCCATCGCTACTGACAGAGGCTGTCAGTCTCTTCCTGCTCCCTCTCCTACTCACGGCGGTCACTCCACTTTTCACGAAGTCATCTCTGGTCCAACCGTAGACCAGGGCATTGACAAAGCCTTGCAGGGGAGCAGTCAGTGACTACAACATGAGTAGATACACACATCTTTATTAAAAATTGCTCTAAAGTGTCATAAAGTTACCTGTGCAGAGTACACAAGAATCCTTGGCAGGTCCATGTTGTCTTTTTGCTTGTGTCCACTACCTATCGTCTCCTCTGGTCCCTCAGGAGGTCCTCTGTGTATTTCCCCTGCCTCAAATGCCACAAATATCGCACACAGCACCACGTCTAGCAAAAGAGAATAGTTTTATATTATCTTTCTCTCGCATTCCCTCACTAGCTAGTCCAGTGATGACAAAGGCAGAGAGGAAGCACAAGACTCTCTTCTTTGCCTGCGAGTGTCCTTTCATCAGGAGCTCTCCAACTGATCCATACACGGTGGGAGATGTTGGCGACTTAGCTGTATATAGGAGAGACCAGGACCAATACACAAGCACACTGAGAAATAGCATGTGTAATAGCAGGAATATTAACTCTTTCGTCTTTTCATGAAATCGGTGATCAGTACTTAGCATTGTTCGTTGACTAGGGGAAAAAACACCATTTGGCTGAAATATTGCAGTCAAACTTTTGACTGAGTGTGTCAGTAAGAGCAATCTGTATAATATTTCTCTATGCAAAATAATATTTCGACACTTCACAAAAGATTTTCTCCCCTCTCTTACTAAGCCAGAGTTCGTTACCAGATTCTCGTAGTCTGCGGATGTGGCGTAGGATCTTCCAGTACATGATGACCAGTGTAGCAAACCCAAAGAAGTAGACAATTAGCAGAATCACTGAGCTGGCCAGCACCACCATCTTGGTGTGGTAGAAATACAGGCCCGATGCCTTCAGGAGATCAATAGTAACCTTTCTACTATAATACCATTCACTATGACACGTTAAGGCTTTATGGCACAGAACAAGTCTCACCTCATATTTTGGGTAAGCCACGGGGACAATGTTTATGAAGAAAGGGAGACACCTGGTAGTAAAGAAGACATGTGTATTTATAGCTATACTAATACACCACAGCCTTGTGGGGTCCATAGGTTACTTACCAGCAGCTGCAATCCGTGGCTTTCTCTACCAGACTGTATCTCGAGGCCACTATGCCAAATATTATGAGCACTGATGCTGCCGGCAGAAACCTATACACCAGAGATGTATAGGTCACTAAATTGCATAATCATCCCCAATCCCACTGCAAATTATATAATTATAGAGCAGCTGTGTGACGACTTACCAGGCCATCATGTAAAGCAGAGTCATCTTCCAAGGAGCCCAGGCCCTTACAGTCTCACTGCCACCAGCCTGCAGTAGTCAATAGAGGAGAACCATACATATAGAGCTGGCGAGAGAGGTGTATAGCTGGTGGAGGGACTGACCAACATGTCAGATAGTTCCTGTCTTTTCAGAACTCTATAAGCCACCACTGCATATGTCACAGTCAGGACCACAGTCACACATTGTACTATCTGTATAATATTGGAGAGAGATCCAGTTGAGGGAGGATGAAAGAAGAGAGAGAGAGAGGGACACCTACAACAGTGAGGAGAGAAGGGAGGTAGCACCAGGAGCGATGCTCGATGCGACCAAACCAGAACGCTCCTCCCAGGACCCAGGACACACCCAGGACACAGTCCGCCACAGATATCACAAATATGGGGTGAATCTTATGACAGGACGACGAGGAGAGACAGAGAGAGTGAGATGGCTCGCATGGCTCTGCAAGTGGGAAAACTACTTACCTTTGGACTGCATAGAATCCTCCTCCATAAGATGGAGACAATGATGGAGAGGGAACCAAAGATGCTGTGGGAAGCGATTGCAGAATATCAGTTGCGGCGCGTACGGCTATCTTCTTGCTCACCTCATAAGGGACACCAGGACCCTGACTACAGTAATGGCATCCCTCTTGTCCACCTGTACAAGCACATATTGCGGTCGTGTGGCTCCGCGCACCAGCTAAATAGCTCACCTCTGTCGGCGCGATGGAACAGGTGCTCATGTTGCAAAAGGCATGAGCGCTGACGGTGAAGTTATACGGTATGGCTGAAGAGTTTGGTTCCTGCATTGCGATCCCTCTAACTCCGGCCTCTGGGTGATGAGCCCTTGCGGCCAGCTGTGAAACAGCTCTGCAGAAAGCTAGCCCCGCCTCCGACACACCCCAAATTTTTTTGGCAGGGAACCAAATTTTTACCCTGCTGCTGCGCGAACACGTACAAATTTTTGAAAGGCTGGTATCACAAAATACACACTGAGGTAAAGTACTGTAGTTCGTAGAAATACACACTTATGCAGATTCAGAGCACGTCCACGAATCAGCATTTCAATTCTGAGGAGAGAGAGAGAGGTCACCTGATGTCATGTGACCACAGTGGAGGTGAAGAGGCTCACCTTCTTCCCCGGAGCAGCGGAGCAGGTCAGTTTATGGTGAGGCCAGTCCTTGCGCTGGCATTCTATGTCGCAGTAGAACACCTGGACACACTTGCACCTCTTCAGGTAATCTGAATTCCTGCCACAAGTTGTGCATTTCAGCACTCCTGGAACAGCTACGGCGGTCATCTGCTTTTCCTGTACACCGGTTGGCTTCTCTTGCAGAGGTCGAGGAACGTCTTGCTTCCTGGTAGCAGGCTCCTCCCCCTCCCTCCCTCCTTCCCTCTCTGCTGTCTTGTCCTCTGCGATGCAGTCTGGCTTGTGTACCTTCCAGTGCTGTTTCTGGCACTCCCGGCTGCAGTAGCGTGGCCTCCCACAGCTAGCACACTTCTTCATGTGTCCGGTGGACTTTCCACAATTGGTGCACTTGCCCTTCAACCTCGTCCCCTCCGCTTTGTGCTTATGCTTGCCTCCCCCACTGTCATCATCCTCGCCCAGAGCTCCGCTGTTGACTGCGTCGGTCTTTCTCCCGCTCTCCTCTCTCCCACTCTCTTTCTCCTCGTTCCGTGAAACACTTGTCAGAGGCTTCTTCAGTGGCGCTGGTTTCACTTCGCTCGCCTTCCTCTCTTGCTTCTTCGTCACCAGCTCTGCTTCATCTTCCATCAAAGGTTTAGTGCCTTTTGTCGATGGTTTTGCTCCGTTTGTTGACGGTTTTACTTTTGGTTTTACTTCTCCTGTTGATGGGGGCTTTGCTTCTCTTCTGGGGGGCATTACTCCATCTTCTCTGCTGGGGGGCATTACTCCATCTTTTTTTGATGGTTCCTTTCTCAACGGTTTCGTTTCCGTCTTCACCGCATCAGTCTTCTTGCGCTGACTTGTGTTTGCAGCTGGTTTCTTTACCTTGGTTTTCTCCTCCTTCACCGTGGCGGACCTCACTCTGACCTTCTCTCTGGCTCTCATCTTCTCCCTCATCTTTTCCCTCAGTTTTTCTCTGGACTCTTTCGGTTCCCTTGGTTTCGGTGTTGGCTTGGCTGCAGCACCACCAGTGGTCTCATGGATATGATACTCGGTCGTCAATAGTCTCTCCTCCCTGGTAATAGTCAGGGAATTCCCCCCAGAGCCCACGGTCGTACCGGATGGAAGCCCGGCAAACAGGTGGAATAAAGTGCTTCCATTATAACTCTGGGCGTCTCTGATGGCTTCAAAGAGTGTGTTGACTATGGCAGACTCGGCCGCCTGAGTGGTGAGAGAGACTTGCGTCGCTCCCCTCCTCCTCTCCTCCGAGTTCTTCCTGGACGGGCTGAGGGCCTCGATGACCTTCTTGACCTCATCGTTGATGGGGACGCCGCCACGGGAAGTGACACTGGACATGAAGTGCGGGATTCTCCTGATCTCTGCGTCAACTTGATCGTCTTCAGACGACTCCTCGTCGATCTGCTGGTCTGGGCTGGCATACATCGGAAACACAACGGCTCGCGTGAAGAAAACCTCGATGTTGTTCTTCCGGAGGACTTTGATGCGACACAGGCTCGTGCGATTGTTTTCGGTGTAGACGGTGTGCGTTCGTCTCGCATAGTATTCAAACATCTTTGTGACGTGTTCGAGATTTTCATGTGGGACAAAGAGCGTGCGGGCCATGTGATCGGCGGATATTTTGCCCCAGGCAGCTACGAGGTCATGCTTATCTTCTCCGTCTTTGAGGAAACAGAAGGAGAGATCGATGGCCGGGGATCGAGTGTCGAGATCCACGACCTCGTCATGGATGACTATCATTCCCGACAGCTCCGAGTTATCTTTCGTGGTGTGCACGTGGACGAAACGGCAGCGTGAGGAGGCCAGCTTGAAGAGATCTCGCAGGATGTATTTGAGTTTAATGATGGGTGGGACCAACTTCATCGGTCTCCTAGCGAGAGTATCTTCTTCCAGCGGGCTCAACTGGAGAGCGAGGTAGTTGCGGGAGGGGGGCGGGTCCACGGGGGCCGCGGGGAGGAACAGGCGGTTTGTGGGGGTCACTAAAAAGAGGGGGGACACTTTGCGATAGGAGTAGTAGTCCCGACGAGCTGTGATCGTCACGGTGTCCTCCCTGCAATGGAACTCCACCTTCATCTCCGAGAAGACGACAGGGTAGGGGAAGTAGATGTCGTACCTACAGTACTCGTTGACCTTGAGGCACAGGTGCATCTGGGTGGCCTGGTTGCTGTCGACCATCAGGTTGTTGCAGTCCAGACGGTACACCAGGTTCGGAGGGATGTCGATGATGGATTTAACCTTCTCGCATCCGGCCACGTGCACCCGCATCTTGCCAAAGGCTGACAACATGGACGGGCGGCGTTTGGGGAGCGGATAAAAGGAGTAGCGAGAGACCTCCTCCACGCAGTCCTTCAGGAGTCCCTGGTAGAGAACTACGGGGACCTGGACCAACTGTCCCATCATGTTCTCCTCCGAGAACTTGACCAGCGTCAACTTGTACGAGTCGTCGACAAAGAGCTTTGGGAAGTAGAAGTCGACAAAGAACTGCCCGTCTTCGTCTTGTCGCAGAGCCAGAGCGTGGATGAAGTACGTTTCCTTCTTCTCGACGAGGATATTGTCCACGTTGTGGGTGTCTCGGTGTATGAAGAGCCCGATGGTCATGTGGGGCACCATGACGGGGTCCTCGATCTTGAGGCTGAAGAAAGAGAGGTAGGAGGAGAGGGGCCGGTAGCGACACACGGGGCAGTCCCTCTCCGTTACCGTCACGTGCAGATGCAGCCCGTGGAGCATTGAAACCGTCTGGAGGTGGTGGAGAAAAGGTTCGAGAGTAGACTCCACTTTGACCAGCTGGACAAAATCGTCCCAGAACTGCCACCTGTGAACGGGAGTGTCTTCCTCCATCTGCGACACGAACGCCAGAATCCCCGCGATCACCGTTTCCATGCTCATCATGTGGGCAAAGCGGTTCACGGGGAAGTTGTAGGTGGCTCCGTGGATGACGCTCACCAGGGCCTTCGGTGCGAAATCTATGTCCTCCAGGTTTTCAATCACGTAGGGAGTGGAGAGGACGCGCTGGAACACGAGTGTTCGGACGTCGTAACTCTTGTGTCGGTGCTCCTGGTTCCAGGCGGAGTGGCGTACGACCGTGCAGTCAGAAAACGACCCGTCGACCGAGACGCTCCTAAACCCAAACATGACGGGGAAAATTTGTGGGTGTAGCCCAAACAGGGACCCCAGGTAGCTCTCCATACTCGATCCCACGGAGCGGTGGTCGACCGTTTTGACAATGAGGCATCGATCGTCCTTGAGGAGAGGCACAGCTTGGAAGACTAGATCGGGAGGTGAAACTCCATCCACGCACTCAAACGAGTGGACGAGGTCAAACGAAGGGTCTACCCCGAGAGACGAGGTGTACAGTTCGGGATTCCGCTGGACGCGCAGACAAAGGGAGATGGGATCCGAGCACTCGAATGTGAAAGTCATGCAGGGAGAAGCCTGGACTGTGAATTTACGGAGGGCACGTGAGGAGGCAGAGAGCCACAAAATGAGCTGCTGGATGCAGTTGGCAAGGATGGGCTGGCTCTCAAACTTATCATCAGTCACTGGGAGCTTGTCGCAGAGGGATCGGGGAATGTTCCCGTCCCGACAGCCGCTCGGGGAGAAGAGGAGCGAGTGGAAGAACCCAAGAAACGGAACTAGTGCGTAGAACGGGTTGTGAATTTTGGTGTGGGAGGTGCCGTCATACAAGGTGACGTTGGGCGTGGTCTCCCAGTCCTCCCCCACTGGGAGCTGGAGCATGTCTTCGGCAAATGTCACGCCCTTCTGGAGAAACGCGGAGAACTCCTCGCGCATTTGCTGCTGGGTTTTCATAGGAACAGAGTCCGAGCACAGCCCCAGCAGGTAGGTGACACACTGCTCAGTGTAGCCGTTCAGGTCGTTGAAGAGAGATTTCTTGCTCAGAAAAGAGAAGCGCAGTTCCTGCTGGAATTCAAGATAGGGCACATGATTTGGCTTGTCCTCTGACCAACGCCGCCAGTGTCCGGCTACGGCTGTGAACGTTTCCTGGTTTCTGAACTTGACAATCTTCCCCAGAGGGTTTTCTGGGGAAGCCCAGGCCTCAAGAGAGGAGGTGAATTGCGAGAGAGCTGTGACGGCGTCTTTCAAGACACGGACGTGAGGAGGACGGAGCGTGACGGAGTAGAAGATGGCCCAGATGGCAGCGCACAGCAGGCGTCCCTCCTCGTTTTCAATCTTGTGGGGCAGCTGCAAGCAGAGGTGGAGCATCAGAATATCCCGCGCCTGGAGCAAAGACCAGTTCTCGATCATTAAAAAATCGGCCCCCTCGAAACGCCCGCGAAACTCGGGGTCGAAATTTCGGTAGAGGGTGTATAGGAGGGAACGTGTGTCGCCTGGGGCTAAGAGGAGAACGAGGGGCCGCGGGGTGCCGGTAACGCAGCTGAGGACGTCTTCCGGAGCTGCTCGGCAGAATGAGTAGTACATCTGGACGTGGTCGTGGAGGAGGAGGCGGGACGGAGGGAACGGGATGCCGCCATCCGCGTTGTCCAAGTCGTTGAGTTTCGACATGTCGACTCGTCCACAGGTGTATCTGGAGTTGGGGGAACCGTGGCTCGAGTGTAACAGACAAATTACAGTAGCTTACACAAGCTCGTCGTAAAGAGATGTGGGGGGAGACGACAAAAGCGCACGAGACACAACACAATTAAAAAAGGAGGCGACTTTATTATGCGCATGCGCGGATTCACGAGAAGCTCGAAGGTGATCGATCGTAACGCCTTTTCCCCCACTTTCTGACAAAACCAAGCAAGGAAACGAAGACTGTCTGCGTACCGAGCAAGAGAGAGGGAAAGAGAGGCTACGGGAGGAATCTAATGGCATCTCGGCTGAAACCGGTGGGCGCAGGGAGTAAGTTGGCGGGGCCGCGCCCGGCGCAGGGCTTGGGGTTGAAAGGACCGGCGCAAGTGGGACTCAGAAGGCCGGCGGCCGGTCAGTCGGGGATGAAACCGCCGTCTGTGTCTCCCATCGGGGTTAGGAAGGTGGGTGGGGTCGGCAGACAGCCGCAGGGAACCCCGGGGAAGGGGCCAAGTCCCTCCACCCCTCAGGGGCCTCCAGCTGGCGGCGGGAGCGAGCCTCCCGCGGAGCTAGAGGTCGGAGACAGAGTCCTGGTGGGCGGAGTCAAGGCAGGAACCATTGCCTTCGTGGGTCCCACTCAGTTTGCCCCTGGAGTGTGGGCCGGTGTCGTCCTGGATACCAAAGACGGCAAGAACAACGGCTGCGTAAACGGAGTTCAGTATTTTGAGTGTGAGGCAAGCCGAGGGCTGTTTGCTCGACCAGAGAAACTCTCACTCCTGGCGAAAGGCTCCAGCTTACCTCCTGCTTCCCCCAGTCAGTCACCGCGTGGAGCAGCCCCTCAAGAACAAGAAGAGTTTATGGTGGGAGACGTCGTCGTGGTGATGGAGGGAGGTAAACAAGGCCACGTTGCATTCTTTGGACCGACACAATTTGCCCGGGGGACCTGGGTGGGTGTCGTGTTGGGTACTGCCGAGGGGAAGAACAGTGGGCGTGTCGGGGAGGTCCAATATTTCGACTGCTCCCCTAATCACGGGCTCTTCACGAGACCACAGAAACTCAAGCTGGTCAAGCGGAAGGAGGCTGAGCCTGTCCAGCGAGACCACGCCCCCAACCAATCTCCTGTGACGGACCTGAAGATGTTGCGAGAGAAGCTGAAACTGGGGGACCGTGTGCTGGTTGGGGGCGCAAAGGAGGGGTTCCTGCGATATGTGGGTCCCACGGAGTTTGCCAAGGGGGTCTGGGCTGGCGTAGAATTGGAGGAACCAATGGGGAAAAACGATGGTGCTGTCTCTGGCAAGAGGTAAGTGCATGACAGTGACGATTGTAGATGAATCCAGTTTCCCGTTGATTTTAACCATCGGCAATTTGCATTCCTATTATGATTGGTATTTTCAGTTCAGTGCTCTAGACCATCTGTGTTTGTAGCTCCATACAGATGTGTACATGTGCCACGTCTGAATTTGTGACACCAGTCTGTGCAGCATTGGGTGTCATGTGACTCTCATGTGATGTCCGTAGGTACTTCCAGTGTCCACCGAGGCACGGGCTGTTTGCTCCTCTCCCAAAGGTTGAGAAGTTGGCAGATTCTGGGCCCCCTGCTGACAGCGGTACACTTCACTTCTCTCTCTCACTCTCTACTCACTCACATTCTCAGAATTTTCGTTCAGCCTGCACTCTCTCTGTTTGCCATTCCTGAGGGTGTATGCATGTTTGTTGGCTATACTGCAAGACCGTCTGAGAAATTTGCGGTCTCTAAAAGGAGACTGGGCCTTATTAGGCTCTCCCTAAGAGCCAACTGGTTTGGCGACCAGACCCTCTGTGTGTGTTTGTATATGGAGCTGTTTGGAGCACGATGTCATTATGACATCACCACCCCTGTAAGAACACAAACCGAAGACCTTCAAACAGCAACAGAGCTTCACTGAATTAGCTAATGTAGCCTGAAGTGCTTCTCACCTCTTGTGTCAGTGGCATTCACTGGAAGTATCCCTCTGCATGAGCTTTTATGGTGCAGTGGGGAAACTGTGTTTGAAATGATCGGTTTTAGAGCCACCTGCAAAATGTTTGGTCTTGCAAAATTTCGTGAGCATTATTTGAATATTGTGGACCTTTTGTACTGCAGTCTTTCATGGAGAGCAGTGGAATTAATGGTAGTTTTGTGAGAAAGACATGGGTATGGTGTAGGTCAGAGCATTATAACATATGGGAACTGCAGTTTTTTCCCAGTGTCTGTGCATGTGTGTGACATGATCAGCACTTTGGTAACCACAATTGTGTATCACCTTCACCCCTCAGTACATTCCTCTCCTGGGAGAGTGAGGAGAGGTGGAAGTGAGACGAAACACTCCCCACAGCTCAGTGGGTCCTCGGCCAGCTCTCTGGGGGCTTCGAAACCACCCTTCACAGTGAGACAGGGGAGAGAGAATGAAGAAAAAAATCATATTTTTCTTTAGCTCCATGTGTCTTCTGGAAATCCATGTCAATGTCCCCTTTCTACGCAAAACTGTTTTATTTCTAGAGGGAGTGATGATAAGAGGAATATCAATGCCCCTAGCAATAGTTGCATCATTGTTTCGTGTGCATATCTCTTTCATTGAACCTTGCAGCGCTGTCTTTGTGTGTGTGTGTGTGTGTTGTAGGGTGTGACACCTCCATCCAGCGTGAAGGACTCCCCACAGCAGAGCAGGGGACAGGCTCAACTGGTGGAGGAGAAAGACAGACTCATCACTCAGCTGCAAACCACTCTGCAGGGGAAGGACAGAGAGCAGAAAGAAATGGCAGAACAAATCACAACTCTCTCCAGGTGAGGCTGTAGTTTAGTTGAGGATTCCCCATGACTGCTATATATATAGTGTACAGGTCAGGACACTCCAACAGACTATTGTTGCTAATACTTGTTGATACATAAGTTGTCACACAGCGAACTCATGCACAAGTGCTAGTGTCAAAACAGTGGCCCAAATCAATAGAGAGATGTGTTCTATTTGTCGTGTGTCCTGTACACAGAACGGTGGAGGACCTGCAGTTCCAGCTGGAGGAGCAGGACGTCATCAGCGGAGACAAGCTGGAGGTGGCAGAGGAGGGGACGCAACAGGTACTGGTGAAACTGGAGGCACAGCTTGTCAGAGAGAGGGAAGAGGCCGCCAGACTCCGCCTACAGTTACAGTCTCAGCAGGTGGAGGAAGTAGTACATTGGTTGAGGAAGTAGTACATTGGTGGAGGAAGTAAGATTTACCATACCCCAGTCTATTGTAATCATACAATGTTGTACTGTAACCAGGGGCTATTTCTATTGTCATAGGACTTCATTGTACTGTCTGTATATAGAACCAGAGACTATATGTAGTCCCCTGATACAGGGAGATGGAGGAGAGAACCAGGGTGATGGAGACATGGAGAGAGTGAGAGAGGAGCTGATGGCTGCCCAGCAAACCTCCCCTCACCTCTCCTCACAACTAACACTGGCCCAGGACAAGATTCAGCAACTGGTGAGCCTGGTCATATGACATCATATGACTAGCATGTGATCAGCACAAAATTTTAAGGCATCATAATATGCATTTGTCTTGTTAGTGCTTGAGCCTTATTACATCAACAACAAGGTCGCAAATTAGATGACAATGAAGGGATGTTGAAGAAAAAAATGATCATGTGACTGTCATGTGATCATCATGTGACTGTTCCCCAGACGACGGAGCTGGAGAGGGCAAAGGAGGAGGAGAGAGAGGGGAGTTCAGGTCTGGAGTCAGAGCTGGCCCAGGCAGAGAGAACAGTGGGGGAGCTGAGGGCAGAGGTGGCAGGAGTGAAACAAGACCTCCAGGATGCCATGGACCTGTGCAGTCAGCACGAGCCCTCATGGAGGAGAGGAACAGAGATCTGGAGACCTGCGACACAGAAATCAGGTCTGTGTCTCTGTCAGTTCAGTTGATGTGCTCCGACATCCGTCTCGTTGTAAAACTACTGTTTATCATTTGGGTCAAGAATATCTTTAGGACTTCCTTTAACACCTGATGAACCTTCTGGCTGCTTTCAATCTCTCTCTCTCTCTCTCTCTCTCTCCCTCTCTCTCTCTCTCTCTCTCTCTCTCTCTCTACCAATTCTGTATCTTTCTCACATGTGAATACTCTCTCTCTGGCTGTATTTTGACCGCCTCCACAATCCACAGAGCTCTAAAGAAGGAGAGGGAGTCGTGGACCGATGAGCAGGCGAGACTGGTCGGAGAGCAGCAGAAACTGGCCTCCGAGAGAGACCAGGCAATCGCCGAGGCCAACCGTCTCCTGGCCAACAACAGTGACGTCAGCAGTGAGCAGAGTGAGTGGAGTCGACAGAGGCAGAGTCTCATGGCAGAGAGAGACCAGCTGGTCGCCGAGAGACAAGCTCAGAGAACTGAGATTGAGAAGGTAAGGGAGTCAGTCAACACACATATTTACAAGGGAGATATACATAGATTTCTATCTCGCCCCATCTTGCTTCATCTCACTGCCCCAACAAACAACATCCGATACTTGGCGTGTATTTACTGGAGCCTATGTGTGGTTGTATGTACATGTCAGGTGGTACAGGAGAGGGACGGCCTGCAGCAGAGTCTGGCAGAGTTGCAGAGACAGAGGCAAGACGTGATGGGCCAGTCACGGGAGATCGGAGCAAAGTACGACACAATTCAGGAACAGGTGAGCTCTCGGTTGCCTCCAATGTGGGAGTGGCGGTAAATTATAGTATATAGAACCACTTCCAAATAAGGGACACTGTGTCTCTCTTGGCAGCTGGAGACGGCGCAGACTGAGGTCGAGAGGTTGAAACTGGAACTGATGTCAGCCACCAGCCGAGCCGACCAAGACAGAATGTCTCTCCAGGAACACATGTGAGGCTGAATGGGGTGTGGTCAGTGGGTGTGGCTATTATTGATATGCCCCGCCCCCCAGAGAGCTGGTGAAGGCGGGGGAGGTGGAGATGCAGAGGCGACTGGATGCGGTAGTGAGAGAGAGAGATTCGACACTGACACGAGCTCAGGAGATGTCAGACAAACTCTTGGACGTGGAAAAGGAGAGAGACAGTCTACAGGTGTGCTGCGAGTGTTTGTGCGTGTGTGTGTGTATCTGTTCTAGTGTGTTAAGAGGAGGTAGCCTGTTGATATGCTGGGACAACTGTGCCGAGGAAGAAAATTTTGAGGCGTACGAACAGTTTTGGTCACAGGGTTCCACTTTACCAGACGAACTATTGTGTGAAATCTACGTTTTTCATCCTGTAAAATCGTGCCAGTTATGTTAGTGATGTGTTGTGTGTCTTGTCTTTAGGAGGTGGTTGTGAGGAGTAGTGGAGAAATGAACAGACTTCAGGAGGAGCTGGAAGAGATCACCAGAAGGTAGGGGGACAACTTCTGCACTGCTAAATATAGTAGCAATGGGGGAGAATTGAATCTAAATAGAGCCCACCAAGGCTATTGTTAACTCTTCTATAAATATGGCAGCCATAGGACTAATAGGCCGAGCACTGAGCCAGAGACCTGTCAATACATGCATTTCTTTTGTCTCCGAGGTTTATATGTACCTCAACTTACGTTTTGTGACTCCAGTATGTTATGTCCTAGCCTAGTCAACAACGTTTCTAAACTTGTCTGTGCCTCAAGCATCTGCTCCCAGTTCCCCTGATGAGTTCTGAGGCCGTCTGTCTCTCACCGCCATCAGTCACAGGTTGTTGGAGAGTGAGGTGGAGAGTGAGTCCGGAGCACTGCAGCAGAGACTGGAGGTGGCGGAGGAGACACTGGGGCAGAGGGAGAGGGAGCTGACTGAGGCCAGGGAGAGGATCTCCAGTCTCTCTGATGAACTGGTCATCAGCCAAGGGAAGGTGAGAGGGGGGCAGCAGGTAAACTACATAGTTGACATCCACAAGACCTAAAGATAGAACTACAGTACTGAGTACATTTGGTGTACACATCATACATGCGAGGCACAAGACAATATTACAACTCCTGCCAAGAACAGAAGACACTTTAGGTGCATTAGGCACCCTAGATGAGCAGTAGGACACAGTATCACTCTGGGCACATTTGGTGTAATGGATCGTGCTAGACACCCCACAATACACTAGTATACTGGGATACATGTACATACGTATGCTAGACACCCCACAATACACTAGTATACTGGGATACATGTACATACGTATGCTAGACACCCCACAATACACTAGTATACTGGGATACATGTACATACGTATGTGTATATACCATGTATTGATGGTGTGGTGTGTACAGAGAGACCAGATGATGCTGGAGGAGGAGAAGGAGCTGCTGGAGGAGGAGAAGGAGCTGCTGGAGGAGAGAGTCAGGGAATTGACAGTCCAGCTGGAGCAGACCCACAGCACCAAGGTGGGTCCTGGCGGACCGGTAGTATGTATTACTGTATATACTGATCTTCTTTTCCTATGTATTACAGTCAGTGGCAGATGAGCTGGGGGAAATGGATGGTGAGACTTCCTCATCTGAAACTTTTCATCTTTTTACTCACCTCCCCTATTCCTCTGTCCTGTCTTTCTCCCTCTCTCTCCTTCTCCAGCTCCATCACAAGAGGAGGTGCTGAGCATGCGCCAATCAATTCAGGACTACGAACAGCAGGTGAGAGTCACATGACTACACTCCACGATCATGTGATTGTCATGTGACCACTCACCAGGTGGAGTTTCTAAACTCGGTGATCTCAGACTTGCAGCAGAAACTGGAGGCGGCAGAGTCGCTGCAACTCATGGAGGCTGGAGACATTCCGTGAGTCTAAATAATATTTATGAGCAAATGGCTCTAATTATTATACTGTCAAGGACATACGTAAAGACCTAGGTAATAGTGGGTTGTTCGTCTGTAGAACTTTACAGAGAAAACGACTCTCAGTTGTTTGAAATTTGCACAATTTTACCAATTTCTTCCTCTGCACATTGCTTCACTTGACACTTGGACTCTCTCTCTCTCTCTCTCTCTCTCTGACAGTATCAGTGACGATGAGGGAGTGGCTCAGCTCCCGCCTCCTCGGCTATTCTGCGACATCTGTGACCAATTTGACCTTCACGACACGGACGACTGCCCTCTCCAGACCACCTCAGAATCTCCCCCTCCATCCTCGTACGGAGCTGCGCGGGCCCCCGGGGGGTCCGACAGACCTTACTGCTCCAACTGTGAAGGTATTTCAGGCGATATTGGACACTTGTGATGTATGCTTATCCTTTGCTTCTCTCTCTCTTGCAGTATTTGGGCATGCTATAGAGGAGTGTGAATACGACGTGGTAGGTACTGTTTGGCACTGAACCAGACTGACATTATTCAGAGATTTGGTACCAAAACCTCACACAACCACAATGACGGAATTTGTCTGTCCCAATGTATACTCTCTTTCTCACTCCATTATCTCCCCTTCTCTTCCCTCTCAACTGCAGACGTACTGAGAGAATTACGTAGCACCAATCAGTGAGAGAGTGTGTGGGCGAAGGCAGGCAGCTGCTGATGACTCTTTGTTAGAGAATTTATCAGTTTTCATTTTACAGCAGTTCTATTATTATAGGAATCAATCTTGTGTTTCATCTTGTTTTTCACTATGTATATATACGACATAGGATCTTTTTCAGTTGCTAGCAATGTGTGTATAATTATAACTATTATAACAGAGATAAAATTTATGATAAAACATTAAAGTGAAAACGATTGAACCCTATTGTTTAGCAGTAAAATGATTACTTGTGAATGTGCAGAACGATAGAAGAAATGAAAGTGAAAAGGATTGATCAAAAAATATGCTAGTGTATTAGAACAGCAATTAATGATACTTGTGAATGTGTGCATGTAAGATTAGATAATCAAGGGGTGTGGCCAGGGGGGCTGGAGAGAAACGACGGAGACTGTAAACTTGAGCTTCTCTTGAGGTCAGCTATCTGGGTCTCCAGCTGCCTGCAGGTCATGTGACAACAGTGGTGAGGTCACATGATAGTCATGCGATCGTCTCACCTGGTGGTGTAGTGGGAGGCTCTGACAGTGGCAGAGTGAGACTGCATCTTTGTCTGTAGTTTACCCATGTCCCCTCTGAACCACCAGAGAGAAGAAGAGGGGGAGGGATGAGTTGGTAATTAATAATGGAGACAAACAAACTTGTGAATTAAAAAGGCAGCGTTTGAGGAATAATCTCGTGATTGTGCATGAAAGCTAAACCACTCTCACTTATTTACCTATATATATATCCCAATTCAGTGACAAATCGTGTCCGTGTGAAAACTAGTCTAATGGTGTTTTGTAGCAGTGCCTACAGTCCAGCACTGCTGGTGTAGTGGTATCATGCAAGATTCCCATTCTTGTGACCCGGGTTCGATTCCCGGGCAGTGCACCTTTTTCCTTTCTCCGGTAATTCCCCAAACCACAGACACTTTCCAATTTTATTTTTTATTGGGAGACGAAGCAAGCCAACCTAGTCACTGAAGGCAACCTAGTCACTGAAATTTCGTACTCTCTATGCTCGCCAATGACACGTTGCTAGTACATACCTGAGTGACACCAGACATGATTGGAGGGTGCTGATGGTCCGGTACTTTGACCCCAGGTGGTCTCGGAGGACGGTGATCTCCCCACTGGACCTCGCCTCAGCTGCCTCTTGACCCTCTCGTCTAGCTCGCTCCATCTGCTGGCCCAGCTCCCTCAACTGAGCCGCGTGGAGCGATGGAGGGAGGGACTCGCTGCAAGACGATACACTCACAGAAGAATCTGGTGGAGAGACAACAAAAGAACACACTGACTGTGCAGTTGGATTGTGTGTGTGTATGCAGGAATATACAGTTAGCATGACACGTGTGTAGCAACATATCGCTTCTCATTCTCATGCAGGGAATGGGTGGGCGTGTGGATGATAGAGTGTTCCAGCTCACCATGTGGTGCAGCTGTGGCGTTGTCTGTGTCCTCGTCCCCACCGATACTGGACAGACTGGTTTCAAACAGGGCTCTCCTCTCCCCCTCCCGCCCTCCCTCCTCCACCGCCTGGAGTCTACTCCTCAACTCCTCCACATCTCTCTCCCTCTCTCGACTCTGCTCCTCCGATGCAGAGAGCCTCGTCTCCAGGATCTCCACCTGCGTCTTCCTCTCCTCCAGTTCTCTCTCTGCGGCCTCGACAGCCGTCTTTGCCACTACCAACTCCGCCCTCGTCGTACTCAGTTCCAGTCGCAGCTCATCCTGCCTTTGCGTGAGCCTCGAAACCTTTGCCTCCAGTACCGGGAGGGTCTTTTCATCGGTGGAGTGATCAGACCTCATTTTTGACAGTTCTCGAGACCTCTTTGACAGTTCTTCTGTTAGTTCGTTGGCACGAGATTCTTCCCCACATAGCTGTTCATGAGCCTCCACCAGCTGATTCTGAAGCGAGGACAGTTCTTCGCTGAGCGAGGCTGTCTGCGAGTGCACCTGTCCCTCTCTTGTCTGTTTCTCTCTCTCCAACCTCTCCACCTCTGCAGTGAGTCTTGTCAGAGACGATCCTCTTTCGGCGAGGGCCGACTCCAGCTGGCAGGCATGGGTCTTGAGTGCCTGCTGGGTGACCAAAATTCCAGCCAGCCGGCCTCGCACTTGCTCCAACTCCAGCGAAAGAGTCTGGTTCTCTTCTCGTAGCTCCTTCTCTTTCTCCTCTGCGTTCTGTTTCAGACGGAGAGCCACCATTCCACTCGCTCGCTCCACCTCCCCCTTCTGCGTCGATTCATGTGCCAGTGTTCCCCTCATCTCCCCGACCTCTTTCCCCAGCCAGTCACACTGTTTGCGAGCCTCCTCCAGCTCCATTCTGAGCCCCGTCGCCCCTCTTTCCGCCTCTTCCCTCCCCCTCCTCTCCCTCCCCACCTCCCTCTTCGCCTCGTCCAACTCACTCTTCATATGAGCCTTCAATTGCGACAATTTCGCCGCAGTCTCCTCGGACGATGCGACCACCTTCTGTAGCTGACTCTGAGCTCTCTCTGTTTCTCTCCTGGCAGTACGGAGCTCGGTCTCCATCTCGCCTTGCTTGGCTGTAAACTCAGCCAACTCTGTCTGGTGAGTGAGCTTCACTGTCTCCAGCTCCTTCCTCAGAGAAGACCTCTCTTTCACGGCCACCTGGAGTTGCTCCAGTTCACCACCGAGAGTGGACTGCTCTGATAGCTGGCCCTCCAGTCGTGATTTCTGCTGCAGTACCGTGTGCAGTCTGCTCTGGAGATGGTCTCTGTCGCTCTTTACGTTCTCCAGCTCCAGTCTCGTCCCTTCGCTCTCCTGTGTCAGCCTCCTGACGGTGCCTTCTCTCTCATCAAGACTCCTTTTAAGAGTGTCACACTCCCTGGTGGCTGTATCTAGTTTCCTCTCCGTATCTCCGAGTCTTGTCGTGGTGTCTTTGTTCCGAGACTGCGCAACCTCCAGTTCCCTTTCTTTCTCCCTCACCTCCGTCTCTCTCTCCGCCACTCTCTCATGCAGTACCCGATTCTCAGCCTCCAGTTGCTGCTGAGATTCTTGGAAGCGACTTTACTAGATACTCATTTCCACTGCTGCCGTCCCGCGAGGCTGCCAGACTGGACTCGAGACGAGCCACATTTCTCCTCTCGTCCTCCAATTCTCTCTCCACCCTCCCCTGAACCCGCCTCGACATCTCCAGCTCTTGTTTGAGGATCTGCTGCGAGTCTTTCATTCCTCTGAGTGCTCCGTCTTTCCCGACCAGTGCAGCCTCTGCCTCTCGCAGTCTCTCTGTCAAACATTCTTCTTTTCTTCCCCGCTCTCAGTTTTTGATCACCTCCTCTTCCTCGCAGCCAACTCCTCGCCATGTCTGGTATCCTTCTCTCCCAGCCTCTCATCTCCTTCGAAGTCTGAGTAGCTGGCACTGCCCACAGTCCCTCCTCCCTGCTGGCTCTCTCCGTTCTCTCTCTCGCGCGGAGTTCGTCTCTTTCAAAACCGATCAACCGGGTCCTCCCGACCTCAGCCGAGAGTCGCTTTTCCTCAGCCCTCTGCTGGCAAGCTCCCTCCAACTGGGATTTCTCTGCCACTAGCGAGCGTACGAATCCTCTCTGGAGAGAACGTCAGCTTCGATGATTCGAGTTCGTCACCAGTCGAGGCCTTGTCCTTCAGAACACCTCTCTGTAAGTTGGTGATTTGCTGCAAGAAGGAGGAATTCTCTCTTGCTAGCTGATCCATTTGACCGTTGCTGGCGATGGACTCGGCCTTCGATGCCCGCAGCTCCTCCTGTAGTTTCAGTTTCTCCTCCAGGTCTCCTCCAGCTGTGACTGATCCATCCCTTTGAATCCTCCACCGCCTGATAGATACTATGGCTGGAGTGACCTCAGCTGGTGTTGCGCAGCCCTCCCGTGACGCCTTTCCCCTCAAGACTCTCTCTCCGAGTCTTGAGTGGTCGACAAGCTCCCTAACCTTACACTCCAGAAACTGCCCATTTCTCTTGCCCCTCCTCAACCTCTGCTTGAGACGCTGTTCGTAGCCTGACTTCGGTTCAGATTTATCCCTCACGGATCCAGTGTTTCCTTCTTCCCGCAGATCTCTCTGAAACGTTTCCAACTGTGGTCTCAATGCAGAGTCCTTTGCTGTCCTCTGATGGGTACCCAAGCGGACAGAGCTCTTCCTCACTCTCCCAGTGGGCCACCTCTAGTTCTGCCCGGTGACGGCCCAGTTTAGAGTTTAGAGTTGAGAGTGCGGGATCTATTCTTTCAGCAGTCAGTCACGGCATTCATCTGTAACGCCTCAGAGGGCCTTCCCAGGATGGGCCTTGGTGTGTTAGGACCTCGAGAACTGCCGGTCAGGAGACAATAGAGGAGGGTGGGGGGAGAAAAAGGGAGCTGTCTCTGTTGGATGGTGAGATTGCTGCTTGTGCGAGAGGTCAGATCTGGGGGGGGTCTGATGGGTACGCCTGTGCGCTGGTATGAGGTGTTGTGGCATTCTTGCGGAGGGGAGTTCCGAACTGACTTGAAAGTATTTTGACGGAACGTGGAGCGGTTTTTCCGGCGGGAGAGGAGAGGAGGAGAGAGGGAGGGGAAAAGGCATGGCTACTGCTGTAGTGCGTCTGTGTTTTTACGGCGTGTAGGATGGTTGAGGAGGAGGGAGACGGAGAGAGGAGGGGTTGTGTCGAAAGCCTCCGTATCTGTAAATAGACACCACGGAACTCGTCTCTGCTTCTTCGAAATTGTGAAGCTCCAAACACGTCTCTTCTCTCAGTCACGCTCAGATGGTTGTCTCCTTCAACCACCTCATTCCTTCCCTCCGTCTCGCCTCCCTCTCCCCACTCCATCGAATGATAGACCCCCCCCCCGCAGAGCAGCAACTTCCCCGTGTGTGCAGAGGGGAAGGGAGAGCAATAATGACAGAGCCTAGCGGGGTTTTCCCTGCACCACGTCAGCAGTCTGTCACGGACCTCCTTGGAGACAGAGGAGTCTCTACGTCTAGCAGCCCACCTCCAGGATTATACGGCAGTTGTCTGTTCTCTGCAAGGCCCATTTTTAAGACTGAGGTCGATCTCTACATATTCACAACACTAGATTCAATCTGTTGGCTTTGGATAAAGTCTGGACTATCACCATGATGGAATTCCTTCTCCTTTGGAGGTGACTGCATCAGATGATTACTCCAGTCTTTCCCAGTCATCTCCTGGAGTAATGCATCAGATTGATACCTGTCTTTACCATCATCTCCTGGGTGATGGATGTGGCACCAGTTTTTGACCTGCGAGTTGGGGTGGGCGGTCCTGTAGTTCAGGGGGTGTGGCTCAGGGTGAATGTCATGTTGTTCGTGGGTGTGCTTTTGTGACTCAGGGGGTGTGGCCAAAAGACTGAAAGAGGAGTTGTACTAGTGCACGCTGGATTTTCGTGGCGACTTTGGTGGGATGGTTGGGCAGGGACTGGAAACTTTGGACACAGCGAGTGTAGTCGGCCCGACACCGACTGAGGTTTCTGGGGAGAGGGTGGAATGGAGAGACTGGATCAGTATAGCTGTAGTGTAGAGAGGGAGCGCGACGGCAGGGGGAGGAGACCTCACTCCCATAGGGAGAGGGTGGCAGGGGTGGCAGAGGTGGGTAGGTTACCGCGCCTGCATGGTATTGTGTGGAGCCCAAACGGAAAGTTGGAGGTGGCGCTGAGGGAGGGAAAAGACGTTGGATCGTGGCAGACTTCAGCTATGTCGCAGCCGAGTGAGAACGACACGAAGGGAGAGGAGGGGCGGCCTCATGCCCTTCGTTAGGCAAGGCTGTGTCGGTTATTAAAGAACGAAGGGGTGTTCTTCACGAGCTCTGTGGTTGCCATGGCGCGAGAGGATGGCGAGGAGAGGAGAGGGGAAGGGGAAACGGAGGTGAGGTGTGGTTCGGAGAGGGGAGGTGGCTGGACGATCGGAGAAAAGAAATGTCAGAGTCTATCTCAGACAGATCCTCTGAACTCAGACACAGCTTGTCTTGGTGCTGGCCGCGTCACTGTAGAGGTTTCTACCACTAGTTCTCTTAGTCTCAGCTCCAGAGGATGTCAGCCGGCTCTTATGTCCACCCTGTGGGCGTGGCCCGACCGAGCTGACTCCGCCTACTACTGCGCGACGAGGCTCAGGAAGTCGGGAGGCAGGGGGGTGAGGGACTGCTGGGGAAGAGAGAGACGACTCGTCTGCAGGGGCTGTCCTTGCGACCTGCTGGAACGCTGTGAACCAACGTTGTAAAGAGCACACGGCACACATATCCATACGCCGTCCGGCACGGCAGCATAATATATATGCATTATCTGATATGCAGCGTCAAAACACTCGCTATCTGGGCCCGAGCGCGCGCGCGCGGCCCCTGACCGGAAATTAATCACACGCTTCCGGACGATCCGTGTGAACACTTGCAGCTTTTACTTTGCAAGGCATGAGTGTAGTCGGACATGGACTACATAGGGACGTCAGTAGGGCTAGTAGATGTGAACCTGCTACTGGACAGAACTGCAGTATGGAACCCCGTTTTTGTACTCTCATGGTTGGCCTGGACATCGGGGTTGTGGGGTGGAGATGAGAGGGTGTGGTCGCACATGGCTCGGCTAGGTGCTCAGCAAACATCAGTCGTTTGTGTGGGACAAATGCTTCCAGTCGTGTGGCGCCATCTTGGTCCATGATCCATACACCATCCACCATACCTGAGAGTAGTACACACACAAAAACTAGTGAGTGGCGGTGGAGCCCTGCGTAAACCAGACACCAATGGGGACACAATAAAGGCCTATAATAGTCTGTATGCAAGAACTGTCTTAGGGCAGTTGGCAGTGTCCTCGTTTCAGGGGTGTCCTTAGAGAGGGGTTCCACTATTATGTCCAAAAGTGTGTGTCTTACCTCGTTCCATGCTGTGAGACCCTGGTTCCATTCCATGTCCCTGGAATGGGAAGCACAGGTCGGGAGGCACAGAGGAATGGGACTGGTGCGTGAGAGCGGGTGAGTGGGCGGCTGCTGCTGGAAGAGGTCCTGTGAGAGGAGTGTGTCGTGGGAGGGAGAGAGGACCGCACTCTCTCTCCCTCTCGGCCGATACCAGTCTGCATCACACAACAAAAGAGGGGGGGGGGGAGGGGGGATAGACCCAGGAAGGGGGGAAGGAAAGAGGTAGTGGGGGGGAGGAGAAGGGAAGGAGGGATGAGGGGGCTGTGGGCAGGGAGGAAAAAACTAGGTGAAAAGTGATGAGCATCAGTAAGAGGTTGAAGAGGGGAGGGGGAGTTGAGAAGGGACTGGTGCTGTAGCAGGAGGGACAAAGACGATTGGATTGTAGGCAATAGGTGGTAGTATAACTTTCAGTGTTTGTGTGGGGAGTGAAGTTTTGGTTGTTAAGGCCAAACAAAAGAAAAAATAGTTGTGTCAAAAATAGGAGAGAAAATGATCACCCAATAGTACTCTCCATTGAGTGAAATGAACTGCACTTTCTCTTGGTACTACTGTTTGCCTCGCAGAATATATACCTAAACAGAGGCGAGAGAGGATGAAAGGAGGTAGAGGGGGATTGCGAAAGGGGTGCAGGAGCTCAGCGGCGAGGGAGGGGAAGGAGAAAGGAGCGGCAGGTGAAAAGAAAAAAAGGAAGGAGGGGGGGTGGAAGGGACGTGAAAGAGAGAAAACCTACGACTAAAAAAATACCACGCTTACTTGATATGTTCCTACCTACTTCTAAGCCTGCATAGCCCTTTCTCCCCTCTTCTCCCTCTGCTATCGTTACCCTGCAATGATCGTGTATGAAGGTACCATAGCTACCACATTGTTTTAGCCGATAGTACATACAATAGGAACTCGACATACCTTTGTATGTAGCTCTGAGAAGAATAAGAACAGTGTGTAGAGAAGAGGTATATAGTAAGGGTGTATATTTTTTTTTTTACAGATGTATATTTAGGACAGTTGTGTATCAGATTTTATTATTAGATTCTTGGTGTGGTATATTACAGAGTATTATTAGCTCGCAGTAAAGGCCAGCACCTCCTTTTTTCCGTTTTACTTTGTTGGTGCCTAAGGTTTTCTATTTTAACTTGAGTTCTTTTATGATTTAATAGTGAAAATAGATGCTGATATAATAGTGAGAGGGTGTTTATTCTCTCTATTTTTTGGTTAG